CAGCTTACAGGGTGGATGAAAGGGTGAAGATGAACTCTGTTTTAACATGAAAAAGTTCCGAGATTCAACACACCCCATGCAATGAGTAGAGGAAATTAATCCCAATGGCAGCATTAAATCTTAATGTAGCAGCTCAAGGGCCTCTTTAATCTGACCTCTGCAGAGTACACCAGTGAATGTGGACGACTGACCTGTTACGCACTGATGGGAATAGGTCGTGTATCTACAAATTGAGATTAACTGTTTGTTTCCATCATGCTGTCACTCCCTCTTTATCAGTCGTGTTGACGAATACTACAGACAAGCAAAACACACACATCAAGGCACACAAATGTATCAAACAAACTTTTATTTCTTATTTTTTTGGTTCACAAAACCCCCCGTAACAGGCACCAGTTGATGTATTCTGTTTTTAAGGTGAATACACAAATACAGTAGCTCTGACTGAGTTACGAGCGATGAAAGCTTCCAAAGATGACAAGGTATAAAATGCGAGCCATCTTTTCCTGGTCAACATTTAAACGTCAGATAAACATCACAGACATTCGTGTTTTGCACATCAGTAGGAGAAGGAATGTCAAAAACTACACCCCACACATTCTATCAGTTGGATGTGCCAGTCAAAACTAGATCAGAGCATAAGAAACACAAAGAGGTGGGAAAAAGAAAAAAACCCACACTGGCCCTTAGAATTTGATTAGCCGGAAAATACCGAACGACGTACTTCTAAGGACATTACTGTGTTGAAAGGTCCTGAAATGTATGATCATGGTCAGGTCAGATCAGATCAGATCAGATCAAAATAAGACCAAATGTGCAGTCTGTGCATCAGAGAGGATTCACTCACGCTTGCCGTATCAATTCAATGTCTCCGGGATGCAAACTTCAATTTCTGAATTCGGATATCTTTGGGATTGCATTTCTTGGAATTTAAGCAACACAGTTAAACCTATAATAACAGCTGGAACGCTGGTATGATTTTTATCAGCAGGTTTGGATCTGAATTTATCCCAAATTACTTTCAAAGACAATATGATGCTTTGGTTATTTGTGCATTGCTAATTAATGACCATTTTTTGGCATGATTGAGTTAATCTGTCTCACTCAGTGCAACGCCAAACAAAAAAGCTGGAGTGGAGATGCAAGATCTTATTTTCTCAGAAAAAAAAAAAAGAATAAAAAAATCAAATCAACAAAACTGGCCTAATCACACACATATACACGAACAAAGCTTGTGAATGGCATTTCTATGTCATTTACCCCAGATTCCATGTGCTTATATTTCACTCAGTTTAAAAGAAAAAGGTATTGACAGACGGTTTGAAGCTGACAGGAGGTTAGGCTATCTTATGCAATTACATTCAAAGAAAAACAGAATATTATAGTCAAACAAAAATCGCTATGAGCTTGAGATGCAAGAAGTTGAATGATTTATCATCTCCAGAAATGAAGCAGATAGTGTTGTTTGGGAGTTCAAAGACCCTCACAATATAATTACAAAAATACAACTTCATTATAAATCTACCTAGAGAGCGACCGTACTCACAAAATAGTTTGAAAACATAGCTCTCCTCAGTTTTCACATTGTTCCAAATGTTCAGGCACAAAAGACAAAGTTGCGGAACTAACATATTACATTTTTTTTTTAACTCCAAGACATTCATAGGACATGTGTGACAGTTGTCACCTAAACCAAAGAGAAGACAAAATCAACATGAGCAAACATTGGCAAGGTCACGCCCAGATTATTCAAACATTGTATGTAGCGTTCTTAGGAAAACAAGACAGACTCACACGCACACTTCTGACACGTCACCCGTTCAGTGAAGCCTCATGAAGTCGACGGGTGTTAGACAAAGGTTTGGTGTCAAAGTGCCCTTGCGGAGGCAAATGCCTCTTGAACATGATGAACAGGAAACTTTACCTTTTCAAACTTCAACAAAACAAATGCTACATAAACACTCACTCAAATTAGTAACTGGATTTGGCCAAAAAAAAAAAAAGACCAACATTGAAAATGAGCTTAGCTAGCAAGCAACAGGCACTGGTAGCTACAGCACATTGTACGTAAGGTAGCTTGCATTGCAACTAGCAATAAACAGCTATGGTGTGAACTTTGGCCGAGAAGGTATCGAAATTGTTATTTAGAGGTCATTTAGAAGCCGTCTTTAAAGCAGATGTACTGTCATGTCAGCAGTTGTAGATTTATGTTTAATATGAATCACATGGCTTTAGTCTTAACAGATTTGGTGGTGGTGGCCTGACTAAAAACTGGCTCTCAAAACGAGTGGATTCGCTGCTGTGCAACCTCAGCTACCTTCTCAACAGGTAAAATTTTTCTGCCAGTATGGGCTAATTCTTAAGGCATCTCAAGTCAATATGTATCCATATACTGTATTCACATGGATACAGTATACATAGATATGTATATATTAGTATGTAGTACTCATGTATACTGTATACAAATACAAAGGACCCCTTCTATCTCGCAAAGAGCAAAAATCCATGTATAATAGTGGCCCAATATAAATGGCACTGGAAAACAGGGATAAACCTCCAATAAGCATTTCAGGGAAAACAGGGGTGGCTCCCCCCCAAAAAGATTTTCTTTTTAAATACCCCCGCACCCCCCAAAAAAACTTTACGAATAGGTGAATCTGATCTCTCTCTCTCTCTCTCTCTCTCTCTCTCTCTCTCTCTCTCTCTCTCCCCCCCATTTTTCCAATCTGGTTCATCCTCACAAGGGTCGTTGGGGGTGCTGGGGCCTATCCCAGCTGTCTTCGGGCAGGAGGCGGGGGACACCCTGAATCAGTTGCCAGCCAATCGCAGGGCACACAGAGACGAACAACCATCCACGCTCACACTCACACCTAGGGACAATTTCAAATGTTCAATCAGCCTGCCATGCATGTTATTGGACTGTGGGAGGAAACCAGAGTACCCGGAGAAAACCCACGCAGGCACGGGGAGAATATGCAGACTCCACACAGGAAGGCAGGAGCCAGGATCAAACCCACGTCCTCTGCACTGTGAGGTCAACGCGCTAACCCCTGGACCACCGGGCCACCCAGCAGTACACATATTTACTTATATTTTTTATCTTATTTTATATTTTTAATTATAAAACCTTATACAGTAATTAACATTCATCAGCATTGCCTTCTGAGAGAAACGAAGAGACTTGTGGTGGTGGCTCTCATTTGACGCTCTGACGGTGTAGCGGCCGTTAGCCTCCAGGTAGCTCCTGGCCAGCTATCCCCGCGCAGCCGATTTGTTAATGGTCAGACAATTAATAGGTATTGATGAGAAGGAGACGAAGAGAGACGCTCTGCTGGCGCACACACCTCCTCTCTCTCTTTCTCTCCACCGCGCAGTAGAAATAACAGAAGAGACAATATGCCAACGGGTCACTAGCGTGATGAGACTCAAGGTGCTGGGCGGGGCTGCGAAGATGCGCAGCCAATCCACTCGTGCTGTCATTGGTCGATGTCGCAGCAGAAACAATCATGCGCCTTGAATGAGTGCCCACTGCATATATACAGTACAGGCTTGTACAAAACCTCTGAGTCATTCAGCATTTTTTTTCAGAATACAGTACTTTGGAAAAAACGCGATGTACTGAAGCCGCGATAAATGAAGCGCAATATAGCGAGGGATCACTGTCCACACTTTGCAGACTATTACATTAGGGATTGAGGTGGGTGTGCCCCTGGACACAGCGATGACAGCAAGAGGGAGTTACTCATCCTGCTTTGTGACGAGCACTTGAGAGCTCCAATTGCCTGGTGCTCAAAGCGAGGTCAGGCAGTACCACTAAATTAACCCAACAGTCCCCAGTAAACGTATAAGTGCAGCCTTGGGAATCGGTTACATCTATCGTTTGCCGCAAACTGAGCACCACAACAGGCCCTGACCAGTGGTTTGATTGGAACTTCACCTCAATGTGAGTATATTTTCTGCCTGAGAGGTCTCCCTCTAGTCTAAGCCATGGTTCCTGTTTATGCAGCACTGTGGGCCGGCCCATTTCCCTGTGGGATTATAGCGGCTGCTGGGTCCTGGTTTCCAGGCTGCTGTTGATAAGCGCTGCATAAAAGAGCACAAAATACATGTCATGTTTTCTTTGAAGCCCCAAGATGTAAATACGACAATCCAAATTCATGGTGCTTTGGCCCACGTAGAACGGATCAACAAAGTTTTATAGTCAACAATGAATGTATCTCATTTCGGAAGTCCTGGAAAGTACCGAATGAACAACTGGTGATCAAAAAACTAAAGTCTTGCCCTGCAATGATCAACTGTCAACATTTATGGGGCCCCAGGTTAATAGAACAGGTTTGACAAATATTAAAACGATGTAAGTGTGACACTAAATATCGTGCACTAGACCAATTTTGTTTAAAGGTAAAACAGCAATTTAAATGATTCAAAATGAAATCTGGGCCATTAGTGTAATAGTTCACAAATCTCACCAACACGAAGGAATCAGTTTGTCTGATGTGAAATTGTGAGCATCATCACCTGGCTTTGAAAAGCGTCACATGAGTACTTGCGTATGGCGACTGAAGCAGTTTACGTACACGAGTGTCGCGACATGCACCACTTAAAAGCTCACGCGATTTAACCCTTTCAGGGACAGCAGTTACTACAGTGGACATTTGATCATGTTATCAGCTTACAGGGTGGATGAAAGGGTGAAGATGAACTCTGTTTTAACATGAAAAAGTTCCGAGATTCAACACACCCCATGCAATGAGTAGAGGAAATTAATCCCAATGGCAGCATTAAATCTTAATGTAGCAGCTCAAGGGCCTCTTTAATCTGACCTCTGCAGAGTACACCAGTGAATGTGGACGACTGACCTGTTACGCACTGATGGGAATAGGTCGTGTATCTACAAATTGAGATTAACTGTTTGTTTCCATCATGCTGTCACTCCCTCTTTATCAGTCGTGTTGACGAATACTACAGACAAGCAAAACACACACATCAAGGCACACAAATGTATCAAACAAACTTTTATTTCTTATTTTTTTGGTTCACAAAACCCCCCGTAACAGGCACCAGTTGATGTATTCTGTTTTTAAGGTGAATACACAAATACAGTAGCTCTGACTGAGTTACGAGCGATGAAAGCTTCCAAAGATGACAAGGTATAAAATGCGAGCCATCTTTTCCTGGTCAACATTTAAACGTCAGATAAACATCACAGACATTCGTGTTTTGCACATCAGTAGGAGAAGGAATGTCAAAAACTACACCCCACACATTCTATCAGTTGGATGTGCCAGTCAAAACTAGATCAGAGCATAAGAAACACAAAGAGGTGGGAAAAAGAAAAAAACCCACACTGGCCCTTAGAATTTGATTAGCCGGAAAATACCGAACGACGTACTTCTAAGGACATTACTGTGTTGAAAGGTCCTGAAATGTATGATCATGGTCAGATCAGATCAGATCAGATCAAAATAAGACCAAATGTGCAGTCTGTGCATCAGAGAGGATTCACTCACGCTTGCCGTATCAATTCAATGTCTCCGGGATGCAAACTTCAATTTCTGAATTCGGATATCTTTGGGATTGCATTTCTTGGAATTTAAGCAACACAGTTAAACCTATAATAACAGCTGGAACGCTGGTATGATTTTTATCAGCAGGTTTGGATCTGAATTTATCCCAAATTACTTTCAAAGACAATATGATGCTTTGGTTATTTGTGCATTGCTAATTAATGACCATTTTTTGGCATGATTGAGTTAATCTGTCTCACTCAGTGCAACGCCAAACAAAAAAGCTGGAGTGGAGATGCAAGATCTTATTTTCTCAGAAAAAAAAAAAAGAATAAAAAAATCAAATCAACAAAACTGGCCTAATCACACACATATACACGAACAAAGCTTGTGAATGGCATTTCTATGTCATTTACCCCAGATTCCATGTGCTTATATTTCACTCAGTTTAAAAGAAAAAGGTATTGACAGACGGTTTGAAGCTGACAGGAGGTTAGGCTATCTTATGCAATTACATTCAAAGAAAAACAGAATATTATAGTCAAACAAAAATCGCTATGAGCTTGAGATGCAAGAAGTTGAATGATTTATCATCTCCAGAAATGAAGCAGATAGTGTTGTTTGGGAGTTCAAAGACCCTCACAATATAATTACAAAAATACAACTTCATTATAAATCTACCTAGAGAGCGACCGTACTCACAAAATAGTTTGAAAACATAGCTCTCCTCAGTTTTCACATTGTTCCAAATGTTCAGGCACAAAAGACAAAGTTGCGGAACTAACATATTACATTTTTTTTTTTAACTCCAAGACATTCATAGGACATGTGTGACAGTTGTCACCTAAACCAAAGAGAAGACAAAATCAACATGAGCAAACATTGGCAAGGTCACGCCCAGATTATTCAAACATTGTATGTAGCGTTCTTAGGAAAACAAGACAGACTCACACGCACACTTCTGACACGTCACCCGTTCAGTGAAGCCTCATGAAGTCGACGGGTGTTAGACAAAGGTTTGGTGTCAAAGTGCCCTTGCGGAGGCAAATGCCTCTTGAACATGATGAACAGGAAACTTTACCTTTTCAAACTTCAACAAAACAAATGCTACATAAACACTCACTCAAATTAGTAACTGGATTTGGCCAAAAAAAAAAAAAAGACCAACATTGAAAATGAGCTTAGCTAGCAAGCAACAGGCACTGGTAGCTACAGCACATTGTACGTAAGGTAGCTTGCATTGCAACTAGCAATAAACAGCTATGGTGTGAACTTTGGCCGAGAAGGTATCGAAATTGTTATTTAGAGGTCATTTAGAAGCTGTCTTTAAAGCAGATGTACTGTCATGTCAGCAGTTGTAGATTTATGTTTAATATGAATCACATGGCTTTAGTCTTAACAGATTTGGTGGTGGTGGCCTGACTAAAAACTGGCTCTCAAAACGAGTGGATTCGCTGCTGTGCAACCTCAGCTACCTTCTCAACAGGTAAAATTTTTCTGCCAGTATGGGCTAATTCTTAAGGCATCTCAAGTCAATATGTATCCATATACTGTATTCACATGGATACAGTATACATAGATATGTATATATTAGTATGTAGTACTCATGTATACTGTATACAAATACAAAGGACCCCTTCTATCTCGCAAAGAGCAAAAATCCATGTATAATAGTGGCCCAATATAAATTGCACTGGAAAACAGGGATAAACCTCCAATAAGCATTTCAGGGAAAACAGGGGTGGCTCCCCCCCAAAAAGATTTTCTTTTTAAATACCCCCGCACCCCCCAAAAAAACTTTACGAATAGGTGAATCTGCAGGTGCTGAACCGTAGGTATGTGGTGGTCCACTGTATACATACACTCTCTATATAAATATGTATATATTCTTATACAGTGTGATGTATAATGTATACTAGTGGTGCGCCGATCGATCTTTCGTGATTGGCCACTTTCCGTGGAAAAGTCCATAATCGTCATTTCGATCAATGCCTTTCAATGCCATCGCATAAACTGATCAACTGCAACTTGTATTTTACAGCCTACTACAACTTTCCTAAATATTGCGCAATGCAGACCATACCAGAAATGCAATCATAATCATTTTAAAATAATGTTCTGATTTTGAATAATAAAGGGATGGAAATTCGGATAGAATTGTTTTTTTAAATTTCATTAATAAATTAGTTGCCGGTAATCAATTTTTAAACTAACTTAGTGAAGCAGCTCTGAAATTGAAAAACGTGCAGCTAATCCGTGTGATCAGCAGTGTACTTGGCCAATCTCACCGTGGATGAGGGGTATCGGAATCGATGGCATCAAACCTTGATCGGAAAACCACGACTGTAGACTAATATCGACATCTCTATGTATACCGTATTCATGTCTATGTATACCGTACACACATTGTGTATATATACACCTATGCAACCGCGCATGCACATTCACACACTCACATTGAATACAAACGCAATGCTTCAAGTAACAAAAGACAGTGTAGCATAGGGGTGTCCAACCCCGGTCCATGTGAGCCCCTACCCAAGATGTTTTCGATGTCTCCCTCCTCCAACATACCGGATTCAAATGATCAGCTCATCGGCAAGCTCTGAGAATCTTGACAACGATCCTGATCATTTGAATCCGGTGTGTTGGAGGAGGGACATGTTGAAAACATCCTCGACTGGGGGGTGGGAAGGCTCAAGGGCCGGATTTTGATATCCCTGGTGTGGTAGGTCTGACTGAAACCAGCAGAGTCCTTTCTCAGGTTCTTTCTTAAGCCTAATGTCTAATTGGAGTTGAAAAGCGTGTCAGAGATCAATACAGTATATAAAAATCAAACATATGCAACATTGATGTTTTTGAATGCTATTGAATCGCTGACCAACGAGTATAACTGCTTTGAAGGCTGCGCTCTCTTTTTCACACAGAACCAATGGAATAGATTTGCATATTCTCTTTCAAGAACCACAACCGGAATTCGGTATTCTTCATTTCTGTGTTGTTCCACCCTGCCTCCCTCTACTGGGACTCTGGGTCATTATTTCATGGTGGAAGAGGCTCGGAAGTAGGAGAGAAACTTAAAGCAGAGGCTCACAACAAAGTACCAGATGTTTCTAGCCATCTGAGATCGGGCAATGAAAATGCGCCAGATGAGCACCACTAGGATGGTGTTGAAAGTGTAGCGGATATTCCTCAGCCTAGGAAAAAAAAAAAGACAAACACTTTTAGAATTAGTATGCATGACGAGAAAACAAAAAAGACCAAAAAAAAATCATTTGTTATCCCAATGCTGTTAGTAGAAGTTGCTTAAATAAATCACTGGAATGTATTTTCCAAAACACTGAATAAAATTTACAAGTAAAACCAGTCTACTTATCTGTCATCCATTTTCTGTTTGATGGCAGAAATGCATGTTCAATGCAAAGCACACTTACTTGTTGAGGTGCTTGCGTGCGGCAGGCAGGCCTGACAGCTCTTCATTGAGGACATATTTTTTAGTGCCCATGCAGTAATTTTCCATGTACTCTGCCCAGTTCAGCTGCCGCACGTCGAAATTAAACACCTACAGCAACGAAATGGAGATATGTTGCGGTGTATATGTATAGACGCAGTGGAAGAAGCAACATTTTAAAACATGCAAAGTCAACTTTGTAAATCTAAAATCTAATCTTCTAAAATGAACATATGCTTCGATATGGATATGTGGTATAGGAAGCAGAATCTGGGAAAAGGAGAATCGCCTTTGTCAGGGCCGGAGAGCGGCCAGTCACCTCAGCAGTGGACTACGAGCTACAAGTGGACTTGTGCAAGAAGCTCAAGTTTCCAGTCCACGTCACAACAACTCAATATCTTGAAGGAAGGTGCGATTGACTGAACTGACGGTTCTTGGGAGGATCGCATCGAGGAGACGAATGAGCGGAAGCGGTTAAAGAACCAGGAGCGAGTTGATGTCAAAAATGCGTGCCAATTCTACTAGAACACAAGCGGGCTCTGATCAACCCTGGCTGGCTCATCTGAATGACGGGGTATGATGTCGGAAGACCCGAAATCCCTGTTGATCTCAGCAACATCACTGATGATGTGTCCCAGTCCATCCGAGGATGTTATCTCACACTGTGTACTGTCAAATTGACAGGGACAAGGGAATTTACACACTTGCTTTAGTTCTTTTAGAAAGACTCCCTTTGACTCGATGTAGTGGCTTTTACATCAAATTATCTGCAATGCCGAATGTGCATGACATTGATTGGGGTAGTAACTTCTTATTGAAGTAACTCCTCATTTCTTAAAGTGCCTGTCAAGTGAAATTAAAATGTCGTCAATTTTACAAAAAAAAAGAAAAAAAAAAGAGTTTTGCTAATAACTGTCAAATTTGAATGAGTAAAAAAGTATACAAAATGAGGCTTCAAAATCATGAAAAATCACGCCATTGTCACCACTCTCAATGATGTGGGTGTTTCGGCTGAAGACTGCATGGGGTCACATCTGGCCCCCGGGCTTTGAGTTTCGACACCTGTGCTTTAAGTTGCTAACAAGCGTGAATGGTTGTTATCTATATGTGCCCCACGATTGGCTAGTAACCAGTTGAGGGTGTCCCCCACCTGCTGCCGAAAACAGCTGGGATAGGCTCCAGCACGTCGGTGACCCTCGTGAGGAGAAGTAGATCAGAAAATGGATGGATGGATAAACTGCGGTAGAGTATCAAGGGATCTAAGAATCCCACATCCAGGTGAAAATGGCAGGAAAGTCACGGGCAAGGATCGATATGTTGACGTGGACTGCGCTTCTGCACCACTGAATTTATCCAGACACGACATAAATAAATGGATGGATAAAATATACATCTACAGTATATAAAAAAATAAAGGTGATTGCGATTTGGAAATTGCATTCGACGGCATTGCAATGTTGATTTGAATTTGATTCATTCTTCTGCCTTACTTTGAGGACTCAAATAAGCATTCCAGTAAATAAGATCCCCTCATAATTCCTTTTCCTGAACGGATGTTTGCTGACTGGCAAGCACTTTGAAATGATTTTGTCAAATTGTACCTGATGAAAACATTACCACACGGTAGATTACTGTCTGCCAACTAGGTACTTTGCTCCAAGAGTGGTGTCAGGATGCACGTGACAGTGGGTGGGTATCTGTCTGTCCGTCTGTGATTCTCTTACCTTTTTATCCTCTGGGGTCATGTGGGCCATCAACATGGCTACGTTGTCCGTGCTCCACACCCAAGAGTGACTAGTAAAATATTCCAGAACCATCATGGCTCTATGAAGGCGAGTGATTGTCTTCATCATCCTTTAGATAAGTAAGAAAGTGAGGTGAGGTGTAGAATTAAGATTCCAAAGGATTGATTATGGGATACTGAGCAGGGAGCAGATTGTTGACATATTTCAGTGAGGGGTCGGAGAGGCAAAGCGAGGCAGCGTGAAGAAAGACAGCAAGCTGTGTAATAAGGCGTTTGGAGTGTGAACAAAAGTGCGATAGTGAAGAAAGGACAACAACAGGAGGTTAGTTGTTGCCAGCAAGGATCAGAAAAGTGTTTTAGTAGGATTGCTGTTACTTGTAGATGAGATCCAGTTGAGAGAGGGTCATGAGTACGTGCATGCAGAATCATTATCTTGAATCTACTTTCGGATTATTTGCGTGCAATGGCACTGATTTCCAGGGTGCGAGGAGTGATTTGTTTTGAAAGAAGGTCATTTCAACTAGACAGTGGTACGCATCTGTATGCCCTAAATGGCCTCAAGCTATCTTCACTTTCAATTCAAATTGTCCCCAATCCTCTTTGGTACATCAGACAATCCAACTGGTTCATTGGTTAAAGCGTGTATGGCAAATTAGGACACAGTTGGTTGACATTTTATTGCCACTTAAGTGCGGATTCAGAAGTTAGTAGTTTTGAAGCTGCCATGACATTTCGGGCATAGTTTTTTTGTATACCACTGTTCTCATCAAACTACACCAAGTTATATAAAGTATGATAATGTCAAACAATAACTGTCAAACTTTTGTGCATTTTCTATTTGCAGAAAACGTCCCCCATGAATAGAATCCAGTTCATATGAAAGATATATGTGAGTTGTTTTAAGGACGTATGCATATTGCAATAAATCACAGTGTTGAAAACATAACAGCAAAACTACTTGTGGTGAGAAAAACAAAAACAAAAATGGAATGATCTGAGCCTTCCAATCACTTAGGAACTAATTCAGTTTAAGTGCTTCAAAATGGACATGAGCTGTTTGCATTTTCAAGCAGCAGGTTGAGGCAAAGATTGCTGCTGCTGACAAGCCTAAACCGGAAACATTTTAACCAAACTCGTTTCATTCACCGGAATCCAATTTTATATTTTTAGTGTGGAGATTTACTTCACTTATCTGCAAAATTCACGATTCAAAATGCCACTTGTAATAAGAACGCCATACACAAAAAAAAAAAAAATTAAATAAAGACTGCATTTTGGAAAAATCATTTTGTTATGTTGCAAGCCTATGTCAAAATCTGACGATCAGCAAAAGTGGAGAGAAGAGCCTTGGTGGGAGAAGGAACCAAAAACTCACTATTGAGTTTCTCTGGGGAGCTTTGTGAAAGGTCCAGACCCAGATTGGGCAAGCAGAGATTGCTGCCTGGGTTCCAGCAACTACTGTGTACACCCAAGAACTAAGGCCAAAGAGTTGAATCTTGGTGTCATCAGACCATCTAGCAGGTGGTTCTGTTAAAAAGCCCTGATTGACACTTCAGGAAAAAGAAACAAAAGTGTGACAAAGTGACAAAAACGGACATTTTCAATGTCTTGGGTTATTCCACAGATAGTTCAATAGAATTTAGGCCTGGACTCTTCATAATAGCGCAGTTTTGTTCTCAACCATTTCGGGTACGTTTGGCTGAAATATGTTTTGGAGGACATGTGACTTACAGCTAAGACTTCCTGACACTGGGCCACACAATTCACTCCAGATGACTTTAATTTTCTTGAGAGTTCCTATGTCAGAAAAGCAGCCCCAAAACAACCTCCTTGCTTCACTTTTTTTTTGCTTTGTGTGCTTCATTTTTGCATCTGTAAACAACAAGCCAATATGTTTTGACTCAACTGTTCAAAGAACACATTCCCAGAAGATGAGGCTTGTTGTTGTGTTTTGGCATCGTGTCTATTTATTTATTTTCTGTAACACTAACTTTGTCCATGTGTACATTTTATGGATTTCCTTAATAAGTACAAAATGCTTCTATTCATTAACGGCATATTTTTCCATCTGCTCAAGTCAAAAAAGGTGCGCTGCTGCGCTTCTTTTTGGCTGTGCAGATCCTCTCATCGACTGAAGTGTGCTTCCATACCACCATGAAATGTACGCACCCGAGGTGGAGTGACCTTAAAATCAGGGTGTTCCCTGACAAAATCTGTCAGTGCGTGCATTCTTCCATATGCTTAAGCATCTTTTGTCGAGCGCGCTCCGAGGCTGTACAATGAATGGTCTAGCGCCTCTCAAAGGCAAAATATCACCCTCATTAGTTCGGTTGTGCGTCATTTCACAGCCGCTGACTGCGAATGATGACTTACACAGGCCGACTCGGATGACTTGTGATGTGTCGCAGAGCTCACGTACGCTCACACCAGGAGTGCGCGGCAACTGTCTATGTGTGTCCTCTATACGTTACAATGACAGCCTAATGTTGACATTATATCATATTACTTTGTGAAAAAAAGTACCACATTTTCCAGATTATAAATCACAGTTTTTTTTTCATAGTTTGGCCGGTGGTGAGATTTATACTCTGGAGCGATTGATGTGTGAAAGGATAAACACATTATCATTTCACGATATTTTCACATTAAACCATAAGAGGGTGCTCTAGGCCTGTTGATACTTTCCACATCGGCGGCAACTGATATAAACAACTGACGATGACTTGGGCGTAAGGGACGTAGAAGAGGGAGCGCCGCATCTTCTACCTCCGGAGTTCGTGGAGTTCTTTAAAAGTGACACAGAGGATGAAGATTTCATTGGATTTAGTGATTTGGAGTGACACTCATGGTTTGGTAAACTTGTTAGCATGTTCTTTATGTTATCTGAATAACTCTTAATATGTTCCGTGAACATACCAGGTATGTTCTCAGTTTATTGTTTATGTGTCATGTAACGTTAGCATATCGTACATTTATTCAGCCTGATGTTCTCTATTTTTATTTTTATTTGCTTTTCAAGATGACATGTCTGTTCTTGGTGTTGGATTTTATCAAATAAATTTACCCACAAAATGCGACTTATACTCCAGTGCGGCTCATATGTTTTTTTTCTTCTTTATTATGCATTTTTATGGCTGCTGCGACTTATACTCAGGAGCGACTTATAGTCCAGAAAATACAGTAGGATCAGTAATAGTAGTAGTAGTAGTAGTGGTGATCTGGGTATTCAGATTGAACTGCTTGTATTTGATTTTTTTAAATAGTAAATGCAAAAACACACAGTTCTTCTAAGTCAGTGGTTCTTAACCTGGGTTCGATCGAACCCAAGGGGTTCGGTGAATCGGTCTCAGGGGTTCGACGGAGCCTCTGACATGGACGTTAAGACACACCCGACTCAACATGTCAATTAGTTATGACACGCCCGCTTGGCCATCACTGGCTGCAGTTGATCACATTACATTACTTGTCCAATCAGTGCTGCGGGAAATTTAGTCCGCTCAGTAGTCGCCGTGTGACTGTCGTGATAGTACGTCATACAATTTTTAAAAAACTATACTTAGGTTGTCCCCTGCCTACTGCGCGAAGACAGCTGGGATAGGCTCTAGCACTCCCCGCGACCCTTGTGAGGATCAAGCCGATTGGAAAATGGATGGATGGATATACGAAGGAAACACATGCTGTATGTATGTAGAAGACTGGATTGTCTCAGAATTGTTTGTTATTTATTCCCTTGTTGTGTGTTCACAAACGCCCCCATAGATTTTAGTTTGTGATTCCTCGCTTGATTTTTTTGTTTTGGTGCATTATTTTCGCTTTTCTTAATGTCAGTGAAGTGATCATGAATTTCCGTTTTTCGGAGGCTGTCTTTGAACGCCTCTCGAGTTGAACGAGAAGAGAGAAGGCACGGAGTCGGACTCAGACATGTCTGTGTTTGTCGAGACTGTTAAAAGCATAAAAATAAGCGTTTTAAAAAACCAACACCACAGCTCTCCTTTTTCGGAGCTGCAACATGTATCTATATCTGTTTGAGCTATATTGGCCAACTATCAAAATCTTTCTTCATTTTCAAACATTTTTATAAAGCTCCAGGGAGCCACTAGATGTCGCTAAAGAGCCGCATGCGGCTCTGGAGCCGCGTGTTGCCGACCCCCGACTCAGGCCATGTCATTTTATTTACGTTTTTCAGTTTTTAATAAATGTGTTTTTTTTATTATCTTGAATTTGTAAAAAATTATTTTATTTTTCACGAATAAAGGGTTCGGTGAACGTGCATATGAACTGGTTGGGTTCGGTACCACGAACAAAGGTGGAACCACTGTTCTAAGTAGTCTGTAATTGAGCCACACACAAGTCACTGGCGATAACCTTCAGATCCACGATGGAAATTAAACGTGTTGAGATAGTTTCAATATGGATCTCTATGGAATGCATGTCTCATGAAAACGATGACCCGGCAATTGGGGCCACAAGAGAGTTGATTGAATCACTCCACGATGGTGGTTGCATACACATTTCCAGTTCATGCATAGCGGGTGTGTCAGAAGTCTGGACGGGAGAATCGCAGCGCCTTGAAAGTGTCAAGAAAGGCGCACAAGGAATTGACATAAGCGTTAATGGGTGAATATGCCCCTAATTTACTTCAACAGGTCCCGAGTCCATATTAACAAGTGTGAAACCTTTTTTTTTTTTTTTCGGAAAAAACACCGTGGAGCATTGGAGATTTAGATCGTGTCATACCTCAGTTTCAATAACTCATCTTGCACTCCAAATAAAGTGGATTCTTTTAGCATAGGTTTGCAACATAACTAATATTTAACAAATTCAAGAGCACTTGAATGCACGCTGAATACACCGTATTAATATTAGCCAAGGGACACACTGTACCAAGTCTATCTGACTGAATGTGTGATGCGGTTTTTGTGCAAAAACTGGGCCTAGACTACCGAGGAGAGGAAAAAGTGGACACACAACCTTACCGAGGCTTTTGGCCTTTCAGCCCAAGATAGAAGTCATAGAGGAGAGCTGGCAGCGTGTGGCTGACAAGTGTCCAGTACTGATTAGTAAAGGGGTTGGAGCGGAGATTGACATTGGGCCTTCTGAAGGCTTGCTCTAAAGGATTGGTCTTGAAGGTCATGTTTATACAGTTCTCTGTAGGAGAAAGACATGACAAACAGGAAGGAGAAAAATAGGAGGCCATTTATAATCCGTAATCTCTCCTCCTGTGGTTCCTGAAGGATACACCGAATTGCGTCACGCTATTAACAATGTTAGCTTGTTAAGAGCATCATGCAGTGAACATCTGAAGCTCAGATGATTTCTGAAATGAAAAAGGGTGAATGAAATGCTCCTAAAGTCACTGTGACAAAGCCATGAGCGAAGCAAGACGGTTGGAAAAAAAAAAAGCATCAAAACCTCGGTTGGGTTTCCAAAGGCATAGCCACATGTATAGGCCAACTTTCAACCATTTATTGAGGCTGAACTGAGATGACCTAGATAGGTGTCCATTCTATTTGGAAACTCAACCGGGACTTAACGATTGCTCGTGGTAGAATGTAAAGTGTGCATAAACCAGTGAGAACCCCCCCACGTAAGCAGAGGAGCACCTGGGTTATACATTCTTGAAATGACAAGCATGGCATTACACATGAACAGCACAGCTTTAAGATGATACTACACTGACAAAGAAGTTAAGCAGCAGAAAGGTCTGTGTGTGTGGAGGGGGGTTTCTGGGCATTTTGGAAAACAGGAGTTGGCCAGGAAAGCCCGATACGGCGAGAGAATGAGGTTACCTGGGTTCTCGTCCAATCAGCCTGAGGTACACATCATACAAGAAGGCTGGAGCCTTGTGGCTCACAGCGATCCAGTACTGATTGATTAGGTGATTGGATGTGAGATTAACATTGGGCCGACGGAACGCCTGATCGAGAGGGTTCCTCTTGAAAGTAGATATTACATGGTATTCTAAAAAACAAAAGTAATCGACAAGGAGTGTAAGATGTGTTGTATCATTGTTAGAGTTTTGTCTGGAGCTGTGCATATGTAATTATTTTTTTTTTTCAAAAATGCAAATTCACTTTTTTACTTTCAATTTAACCAATTTGTAAGATGGGGATGGAACAAGTTTCCACCCAGCATTTGCAAGGCCAAGCATTTCAGCGCTCTGTTTTGTTCCAGTTTCAATTAAAATATTCCAGGACTATCGCTTCAGTTCTGGATACAACTGTTATTTTCAATTCTCAACATAGTGGATGCTCGGACAAAATATAGGACTCGCTGTTACTGCCTCGAGGATCTTATGAATTTTGTCAGAGGTCACTGGACTGTCTTTTCAATGAAAATTAAAATGTGGATAATGGATGCCGTTTTGATTATGTTTGATTTTATGGTGGTCCTGTCTTACATGATGGAGAATTTTTCTTCTAATTAAAAAAAAAAAAAAATCACTTTTCTTTAACACTAGCATTTTGAATGTTTTCAGTAAAACTCAAAGTTGTATCCTGCTTTCACTAATTGCATTTACTGTTAAGAAGCTTTATGGAATGATTTTTAAGAATTCACAATAAAGACTGAAAAGACTTAAATAAGACTTACTAAAACACTGCATACATGCAAATGTGTCGCGCTTAATTCATGCGTCCAGATGGCAGGATAATTTAATGACACCACTAACTGCTATGTGTAAACCAAAACAATGTTAAATGTAATATTTAAAGTCATGGAAGTAGCCCTGGACACGTGTGAGACGAAGATTTCAACCTTACAACATTTAACAATGACTGATTAATTAATTTAGCCAGAATCCACAGGAAACAGGCAAATAAATGTTCCCAGGTTGGGTGAGGCCAGTGGAGAAGATACTGTGCACAATTTGAAAATCCATGACAAGTTTCTCTCAACTAGACCGACAACACCGCTGCCCGGGGCTGTTTTGGGCTGTTTAGATAACATCAGAGAGACATACCAACTTCTCCCCAGCGAAATGGGTTGATGCCACCAGTCGTGCAGTTGTAAACCAGGATGGATTTGGGCCTACAATGAGACAGCAACTTTAATTACAAGCACTCTGTGAACATTTTTTTTTGTACACCTTTACAAAAATCTGAATATACAACCAAGTTCACAACAGGCCTGATTTACTAAGATCCCAAGTTCAGTAGCAGATACTAAATTCCGTATTCACTCACACTGACAGCATGCACGGTTAGTGTGCATTTTGCATGCGCTCTATAATGATTACGTTCTTTTACTACGATCCTATATAGTGAGAGTTAAATTCTGGGTTAACTCATGAACAAAATCTGCACGTAGGTTGCTCTAATGATTTTCACAATGGAGCACTCGGGAGAGCATAGAAAACATAAAATGAAGTTTGAAGTAATCAAGTGGTTAGTGGAAGTGGCAAAAAACAAATGATAGAAAAAAAAAATCACCCTGATAATTTGGGACAATCCAGCAACCGCATAAAAGCCATGTTTGTTTGATTGAACTTGCCCCAAGTTCGTGGCAATAGGATATTACTGTCCATCCTCTGTGGTTAAAACACCACAAAAATGATCTCGGAGAAACCAGTACTACTCCACTAGGGCTGGACGATTAATCGAATTTCAGTGATGATCTCGAGTTTGGCTTCTCTCATTCTTTAAAATGTAATAATCGAAGAAAAGCAATTAAGGTGCACAACGGAGTGGTGCCTTTACAAGTTCCCGACGTTGGAAACATACCCTAACTCAGTGTTTTTCAAACTTTTTTGAGCCAAGGCACACTTCTTTCATTGAAAAAAATCTCGCGGCGCACCACTAGCTGTAAATCTGAACCCCCCCACAACCCCCCCGCTTATTTTAACAATTAACGTGTTATATTGTTACTATAGCCGTTTTTAACATTGAAAAATGACGTTATAACAGCTTGAATTGGAATCAAATGAACACAAAGAAAACAGTATTTTATCATCTTTCATATTTATTGTTTCACCGTCGTCCTGCATTCATGCGTCACAAATTCGCTTGTCTCTCGTCGAAACACAAGGCAATTGGCTAGCTGTTGCTGCTCCCTAGCGGTATGGGAGGGTACTACATGATTACTTTCTGGGCGAAAGACCGCACAGGCATACAAATTGGATATTTTCCCGCAGCACACCTGACAATGTCTCGCGGCACACTGGTGTGGCACAGGGGTTGAAGAACACTGCCCTAACTAACTCAAGGTTCTGTTTTTTAATTGCGATTATTTCAGTATATTCTTATTTTAGTTCTTGCTCATTTTTTCCCCTTGGTCTCTTTTCAAAATAAATTCAAATTTGAGTTTAAGAATTCAAGGAATTTTCCTTTGCTCAAAATTCGAGGATACAAAGATACTTTTTTTTTTTTGGTCATACCAACACCCATTTCCACATAACTTGGCACGAAATACAATCCCGAAATCCCAGGTTAGGCTGAAGTAGGTTGTGTGTATTTTGATTTCTGATTTTCATTGAGCGCTGGAATGACCCAGACATGAGGGGAGTTTCATCATAGGTGACAATGCATGACTCCTTCATGTGACTGGCTTCAAGTCAGCCCTAAGTTCAGGGGTGTCCCAAATAGGTCCGCAAGGACCGATGTCCTGCCTGGTTGCCATCTCCCTCTGCTGATTCAAGTGATCAGGATTGTTTTCTTGCTTCTTCAGAGCTTGCTGATGAGTTGATCCTTTGAATCAGGTGTGTTTCAGGTGTGTTTCAGCAGGGAAAGACGAAAAACAGGCAGGACAGCGGCCCATGAGGACCGATTCTGGACATCCCTGCCTTAGATCATTCAGAAGCTCCAAAGTTGCATTGTTGACTTGACTGTGATGTAAAATTTTTGCTTGTAGCGTTTCAAAAATGTTTACATGAGCGGAAAACATCAATTTTTCCTACCGCCGCTCATTTTGCATCTGTTCAATTCCTGTCAGTTCTGGACAACGATGCAGTCTGAAATATTTACATTTTTAAAGATTTAATTTCAAGATGCAAAATAAACCATTGCAATTTGTCTCAGGGTTGATAAATCACATTGCGTGTTTTTAATGAAACAATTCACTTGTACTCAGACAGCATGCAAAATCAACTGTCGCAATGTTCCACATTTGGCAGACTCACTCCTCTGTTAAGACATTTGCTTCCACATCTAACCGGGTGAGCAATCAAGTTTGCAGCAGGTTTTTTTTTTTTTTGGCCTGTGCAATCTTTCAGTAAATCCAACCCAATTGCTGAGTTTCCAACCTGTTCTTTTGTTGTGATCCAGAATACCAGGCAGCAGCCAGTGTAGCATTGATGACTACATCTACAGGTACCAAGTCAGCCACTGCATCATTAGATGCTCTCATTGTACGTAGGATCCCTTTACCTGCCTAAGGAGAGATAAAAATTGATGAAAACATCTATTGATCTCAAAATTCAAATACAGGCTACGTAAGGCCTGTAGTTAAGATGTTCTCTTAACTACCAAAGGATTGAGTTTTAAAAAATTCTTGTCACACTTAAATGCTTCTGATAATCGATTTTAATATCTCTCAAAGAAATGCAAGTCAATACGAAATGCCATTTTCTAAAGAATGATTTCATTTATTATATTTTTCTTAATTGTATTTAGGAAGGGAAAAACAATTTAAATTAAAACCTGGTCGTCTTTGGAAAAGTAACTGTCTCCTTATTAAATCATCAGTCAACTGTGTTGAACCCTTTGAGGGACAGTTGTTACTACAGTGGACAGCCTACCACGATATCAGGTTACAGGGTGCATGAAAGGGTTTACCCACAGTTTTTGGAAAGCCGAGTTCAAGAAATCATTGAAATAGCACCTGTCAGACAAAGTGGAGTATGCTACAAGATCTTATTTAAAAAAAAAAAGAAAATTAAATAAAGGCACCGTGCAATGATCAAAAGAACTTCAAGAACAAATGACAAAAAGTGAGTGTAATTTATATGTCAAGGAATGGTTACAAAGCTATTTGGAAGGATTTGGGGCTCCAGCAAACCACAGTAGGTGTTTGGATTTTGGCTTCCCTTGATGAATAAAATCTGTATTTTTAAACTACAGTTTTTATTTAATTGGGATGTCTTTGTGAGCTGCAGTATGAAAAGTGGTTCAATTATTTGAATCTGGTGCGGTAAATAAGCAAAATATAGGAATAAAAATCAGAATGGTGGCATATACTATTTGATTTATTGTATATTGCTTGAAAAATAAAACCAAAAAAAAAAAAAAAAACCCCAAAGCTTTAAGTTTCGAAAATGTTCTGTCAAGGAGATCGCATATCTTCAGTAAAAGACGATGCAATAGATATTTCGGTACATACAAAGGAGGGTAAGATTGGATTCAAGACTGGTGCATTTTAAAATGGAACGATTCCATTCCGGTTCGATGAAATCAAAACCGATTTTCCAATTCAAACCGGTTTTTGTTACACCCCTAGTTCTGTCTATTAAAAGTGGTAAAAGCATTGCTACCATTCAAAGCACGTTCTCCAAAATCTGCAATGTGTTTGTTCCACTTTTGAATGATAAAACAAACCGTTACCTTATTCCTCCCAGTACTTACTGCAATGAATATTCCACTAGGTCCATTAAAATTATCAATCCAACCCTGAAACAGTGCAGAGAAGTAACAAATTATTATTATTATGATTATTATTGTAGATACTGAATTACAGAGGTATACACAATACAATATTGACCTTCTATATGGACTTTGAATCGGGAGGAAAAAATTATTTCAACAAAAACTCACGGGAAAAGGTTCTTTCCAGCTGGCACCAACTATGGAGGGTCTTACAATAGCAACGTTGAGGTCGCCGGCCTCCTGCTGCACCAGATACTCGGCTAATGCTTTTGTGTAGGTATAAGTGTTGGGTCGTTGACCAATCAGTTTGGGGGTCAGAACCGACACCAGTTCATCGTCCATCCAACTGGGAACAGAATTAAGACATGAAAGGGTTTCTAGTTACCATCAGAGGTTTACATACGGTCATCATGCCACGAATACTAATACGGTGTAGACGTTCCAAAGGAGGTAGGTGGTTGGCTGGAATGTGCTGTACATGAGAGCGCATGTGCAAACTCTACGAGTGTGGAAAGTCAACGACTGACCTGATCTTAATTTTCAATATTTATCATCTTGAATGTTCATATCATCCAGCCTCACTATCTGGTGTCAACAATTTCACGAAGCAATCAGGCATGTGTTACCAATCAGGACCTAAAACTAATGGTAAACACGTATCCCACAAAACTCAATGCGGCTCTTTATAACTTTGGGCTTTGACAGACAGAAGTCCGATAAACGGTGTCGTACAGTCATGATTAGAAAGTGGCAATTCTTTGCCCAGCCTAGTCGCCACGTCGTGGGCTGATTAACTCGGAGTGAGGGTGGCATTATCCACATTGTGACATCACAATTTGAGAAATTTCTGAGCAGCTCGCTCAGAGTAGCAACATGACAAGAGTTCCCTAAAATGACACTGGCAGTCTGACAGAATGATGAATACGTTTGAAATGGCCATTTCAAGCAGAGTACAACGGATTACAAATTTTGAAAGTGTTCCAAATATACCAAGCTTTTTGTGTGTGAACATTGACCTCGTTGGGTTACGCTTTTGTGTTATATTGCCTATCTATCAGTCTATTTGCTCCAAAGAGCCCAAATTACAGTAAAACAGTCTAACTGCACTATTTATTAACATATCACAACAAAAAGTCACACATTTTTGTAATTGGCCATGCCAAATAGCATTTTGAACGTATTTCTTCTGATGACAATTTAAGGAGCCTAATTATGATCTCCACCCTCCCTTCCCCACAAAATTGTTAAAAAAAAGGGGGGGGGGGTTGGTTGGGTTTTTGTTTTTTCCCCAAAAGCAAAACAATCAAGCTAAGCTATTCATATTTGGACATAGTATTTTAACCCATCATGTAGTTTTTATAATATAGACATTTTGAAATGAATTTGTCAGTCACAGCAATTTTTCACAACATTAGTTATGTAATTTGACAAGTAATACTTTAATTTAGCTGAAATTTGGTACGCACCTACTTATAATGTGTGCTTTTATCAAGTTTGGTGCTATACTGTCCTCCTTGATGCAATAGATGCCTGAAGTTGTGACATCGTCCCAGTGATAGTCTTTCATAACACTGACAAACCCTTGCCTGAAGATTGTGCAAACCCGAAGACATTTTTATGAACCGTTAGCAACTTTGTTTCAATTTTTGATTAAGTCCACAGCACCAAGCGGAGCAGTTTAACATATGAAGTTACAGGCAGTTGTTGAAGTGGTCTATGCATTAGCACCTTAAATTTTATTTCGTCCAACTGAATCAAAATTAGTTATTAAAATATCGCAACAGTTCAATATTTTTCATGTTCGTTATTGATATTTATCACTCACAAAGAATACATTTTGACTTAATACTCTTTATTTTAACTTAGCATGAGAGAAATCACAAAATGATTGCATTCTTCATAAGATTACTCGAGAGACAGCGAATATTTTACTGAGAGATGCAAGTCTTATTATTAATGCAAATTCATCATTCATTTAATTTATCGTGCATATGGGTTCAATATGAACTGATAATCTGGGGTTCATCAAGCTGTTTGAAAGTGAGACATACTTCTTGGGTACTAATGTGAAGGTAATAAATGTTATACACACTTCTGAATAATAAATGTGCTCAAATTACCTTCAACAATACATCATTTCATCAACAGGAGAATGCAATTTCTGGAGAAATTGTGTTTAAAGGCAAAGAGGCTCAATGAAAAACAACGTTGAATGATATAGAATGACAGAATGATATACGATGACCTCGAATGAGCAGAGCAGGTCAAAAAGTGGAATGGTTTGAATTGTTCAAGAAAATGCAGAAAGTAGAGGATAAAACCAAAAAATATTACCGTAAATTCCGGGCTACAGACCGCACCTGATTAAGAGCCGCATGCTAAAATTTATGAAGAAAAATCAATTTTGTAATTATACGCGTCACACCATACCGCTGGCCAATGAGTAGGCGGGGGTTTGCTTCTGCGTCCGTGCCGCCTGGAGCGCCTCCGGGTGCTGAACCCCCGCAGAAAAAAACACAACAATTTCTTAAGGTTAAAATAATCTCCATATTTTTATGAGCATGATAAATGCATTTGCACAACGAAATTACGCTGAAACACATAAGAGGCCAGACAAAGAGAGATCTCGATGCGCATTTGCGTAATTACGAGGAGAAATACTGCAGCCCACTAGGCTTTAAATAGAATAATGCAAATCATATGAATGGGAAAAGATATATGAAATTATTTCTCTAGTCAGCCGCTTAAAAATGATCATCGGTGGCAGCTTTAGGCCCGATGCTGCGCAGCTCAAAACACGGGTAAAATGTGTTCTCTCGTGGCGGCTTGTTTTCAGTATGACGGAGGAGTCAGCTTTTTTATTTCCAGTCTAAAAGACTGAAATAAGGAAGTTGTGATTACCGGTAATCATACAATTTCATTGGACCCCTGTGTACTACTCATTCATTTTATTGGTCGACTGTTGCCAGGTAACACATTTTTCCCCGCTACGGCGAGAAGAGTGGAAGTTGTGATTAGTCATACAATCTCATTGGACCTTAGTGAACTACTCATTCATTTTATTGGTCCATGTTTTTCCCGCGATGGAAAAAAAATAATTAAAAAGCCGCTTCATATTACACGCCGCAGTGTTGAAAGTGTGGAAAAAAAGTAGCGGCTTGTAATCCAGAATTTACGGTAATTTCCTGCTTTTATTTTGACATTTTAAAAATGTGGTAGAAATAAGCTGAACAGTTTAAAGTTGTTTTGAATCAGTGAAAAAACATGGAAGACAAGAAAAACAAAAATTTTTTTGCATTTATTTTAAAATATTGCAAGGAAGCAAGAAAGCTAGGAAACAAGGAACGTATGAAGCAAGGAAAGAAGAAAGCAAAGAAACAAGGATGCGAGAAAGGAAGGAAGCAAAGAAACAAAGAAACTGTAAGCAAGCAAGCAAACAAGGCTAATATGGTCCACCCCATTGGGGATGGCTTCACAAGAGAATCCGGGGTGAACCTTATAGCCCCATCGGGACGCCAACAGGCATGTCCCTAATATTCTGGCGAAAATGGCCGCACCATTGGAGGCCTGGGGGCGGAAATCCGGGGTGTACTTAATGTTCTGGCCAAGATGGCCGCACCACTAGGGAGGCCTAGAAACAATAAGCTGAACAGTTTAAAGCTGGAACATTTCCTTGATAGTTTATTTGCCGCCAGGTGGATAAGCTGGCACTCCAGAGATCCAACTATTTATATACAAGAAACTAACTATAATGTACACCAGAAGAGCCGCCATTGAGCACCCATTTGACGTTACTATATGATACTAAGGCGTAGAAAAAAAAGTAGTGTGTTTCCGGTAACCCGACCGACCGAGAATTTCTACCTCAAAAAAAAACTTTACGGTCGGCATTTTTTTCAAACAACCTTCAAATTTAACACACGTCATCATTAGTTCTACCAACAGTTAACATTAGCATTACTACCCCTTGTGACGAATGTTTTATTCATAAAGGTACCATGCTACAACCAGTAAGTTATAGAATAACCAATACTGTTTCATAATATTTTTCAGAGCGATTAGCCTACAAATCTAATGACCAACTTGCCTCGTAATCGTGCCTCTCGTCGTATCTCGCTCTCGTGTTCTGTGCATACATCCCAGGTGAGTTTAGTGATACGCCCTTTGGACGATTCATACAAAAAATCAGACTGGCATTCCCATTTCTTAAATGTCGCAATTAGTAGACCTTTGTGAGTTTTTTTCGCCGCCATCTCAAACTTTCATCCGCGCGATTCCTCAGTTTGCGGACTAAAATAGCAACCCGCATGCGCACATAACGTTATCTGTTGCGTCGCCCCCCAACACTGAAAACAAAACGAAAGTAAATTAGAAGAAACACACTCACACACCATACCACACCACAAACACATACAGGCACAGTGAAATCGCGTTGATCACACAGTCAACTCGTGTGCTGTGACTTTTATGGTTAAACTATTTTTCGGTACCGTTAAAATGACGCCACGGAAACGACACGCTACCAGTAACTATTGTTACCGTGAAATCCTCAGGCTTGCCGTCGGTTTTTTTTTTTGTTTGTTTGTTTTGACTGAGAAATTTCCTTGCGTCCCAAAAACGCACATTATTTGGAACAGTGCGTCTCGTGGGAAAATTATGCGTCTAGGACGCGGGACGCAGAGGTAACGAGATGGCTGTAACACCCAGCCGCCGGGTACCCAACTCTCTTGCCGCCTTTGCATCGAGCGGGGGTTTCAATGTCTCCTTGTTTTATGTTTTATGGTTATTTTGTTTACATTTTTGATGGGGGGAAAAAAAGATTAAAAAAAAAACAAAACTTTGTCCGACCTATGCTGAAATTTCATGTTACCGGAAACACACTACTTTTTTTTTCTACGCCTAAGTCTATCACTGATATTAGTTGGGGGGTGTAAAAACACAATTCTCCAAAAACTCGCGTGTCATCTGCTAACATTGACGAGCTACATTTGGTAAAAGTCAAAATGAACTTACTCCAGTGCATCAATGAGTTTGACATACTCCACTGGGGTAGGATAGACCATTTCCTCAATGAGCTCCCGATCACAGTTGGCGTAGGCTGTGGATACATGGATGAAGATTTCTAGATGCTTCATCTTATGGGCCAGAGCGAGCATCTTCTGAGTAGCCAAGACATTCAACTGCATTGCATCTCTAAGAGGAAAGTTTTAGAAAGGATACAAAGTTAAAAAAAATAATAATAATTGCAAGATGACAATTACAACAAGGTCCACTGCGGTCTCACAGAGCTGATCAGTACAGAACTATGGCATTAAAAGGAGCTACTGCTTCAAGGCATGCAACATAATTCAGTTATATAAGTCTGTATCTCTATACAACAAATTAAGTTCATAAAATGAATCTTTCAAGTGATACAAACAGCAGACAGCCTTACCTATTTAAAAACCAAAAGTTAAAATTAACCTGCTTTCTCACTCTTAAACAGCAACCTCTGCCCTTAAAATAACTACTGATCAAAAGGCACTACCTCATTTTGTCCAGGTCAAAAACAGGAGAAAAAAAAACAACCTTTGTTGAGGCAAGTAAGTAAGGTGTCAAATATCTGTGTACACCAAACCACTCTGACTCATACCGACATTCCATGCTTGATGAGAAGTTGAGCAAACATCTATAAGCATCCATAGCACTTCATACTCAAGACGCTTTAAACAATCATTCATTTGGCTGAAAGTGTTGTACAAGCTTATTTAATACTCTTGCCTAAGTCACACACAGTTAGAAAGCCATTCCAAGAGAGAAAAACGCTTACAATTAAAATACTCACTTCAGTGGCTCATTGAAACGGATGGTGGCAGCACAGTGGAAGATAATGTTGACGCTTTCAGCGAGTAATGTCTGATTCTCCTTACTAAGATCCAGTTCTGGCTTTGTGAGGTCACTGCTCACTGCAATAATCTTCTCTGCAAAGCATGGCTGTTCACCTTGTAACCTTTCGAACAACTAAGAGCAGAGACATTTTAATTCAAATCAAAACCAAGCACACAGGAATTTTGAATGTGAGACATTTTGAATAAATGCAATTAAAGAAGGTCAGGACTCTTGAGACTCACTTTTTGTACAGGTTGCACTCATGTGCCCAGCTTTTTTTCTTGGTAGCGCCAGCACTTAAATTAGTCACACCGACATTTTTGACTACATTACATTGGCAGAAAGCTGCCAAACTACAGAAATTCCCTTCCTGGAAAATTTATCTGAATTTTCCAGTGATTAAAATTCTATCAGGAACATTACAGTGGGACTGCACATGGGAGTGTTTTTACCGTATAGATATTTAATATTAATGCTTCAAAGAATAAATCACTCACACACTTATTTACAAGTGGCAATTCAACAAAGCACACTGCACACACTGCACACGGGCACACATATATTTTTAAATCAAGTCAGGACCCCAGACAGTTTCAAGGACCAAAATAAAAACAAAAGGAATTTGACTTTTTATTGTTTGTGCACAAAAAGCTGGGTCCTGAATTGGGCCCGACTAATTAAGTGAGCCAATTATAGCCCTTGAAACATTGGATAAGTGGACGTTTGCCGGTTATTTTACATTTACATACAATGGTACCTCTACTTATGAAATTAATTGGTTCTGTAAGAAATGTCTTAACGAGAAAATTTTGTAAATTGAGATGTGTTTTCCATGTACCGTAATTTCCGGACTATAAGCCGCGACTTTTGTCACACGCTTTCAACTCTGCGGCTTATTTCATGAAGCGGCTTATATAAAGACTTTTCTAACGGCCGCCTGTGTATCGTCTTTCTTCGTAAATATCTCATGTTACAATATGGGCACGTGCGGCTCATACACAGGTGCGGCTTATGTGTGTACAAAATATTTTTTCCTTTAAAAATGTAGTGGTGCGGCTTATAATCAGGTGCGGTCTATAGTCCAGAAATTACGGTAATTGCCCTAATCCGTTGCAAGCCTTCCCCAAAATTCAGACAAATGTTTTCTAAAGCATAAAAACGCATCAAAATTTGTAACAAATACATGTTAAAATTAGATTATTGCACAATAAATGAGAGTTGTGCATAATGTAAAAAAAAGAGTAAAGAGTAAAAATGATTGTCATTTAACTTTTAACTGCGTCCTCATCGTTTTTTGCCCTCTTTAGTTGATGTTCTCTCTCAGAAGTGGTTTTTGCCTGGCGTTTTGTAAAGAACCGATCCAAGAACGTTTGCTGTGGTCGGCTTTTAATAATCCTTTGAAAATGTCCGAGGCAAACATCAGCATGGTGAGCGATTGCCCGACTGGTGAACACTTTTTCTGGGTGATTCACATTTACGTATAACTATCGGAACACCTCATGGCCCCGGGGGTCGAATGACGAGGACGCTGCATAGACACACATCTATTTATCTATCTACACACACAGACGCATACGGTACAGCAGTGTTTTTCAACCCGTGTGCCAGTGTGCCGTGAGATATTGTCAGGTGTGCCGCTGGAAAATATCCAATTTGTATGCCTGTGCGGTCTTTCGCCCAGAAAATAATCATGTAGTACCCTCCCATACCACTAGGGAGCAGCAACAGCTCGCCAATTGCCCTGTGTTTCGACGAGAGACAAGCGAATTTGTGACGCATGAATGCAGGACGACGGTGAAACAATAAACATGAAAGATGACAAAATTCTGCTTTCTTTGTGTTCATTTGATTCCAATTCAAGCTGTTATAACATCATTCTTCAATGTTAAAAACGATTATAGTAACAATATAACATTATGTTGTTTTAAAAAATAAGGGGGGGGGGGGGGGGGGAGTCACATTTTCAGCTTGTGGTGTGCCGCAAGATTTTTTTCAATGAAAGAAGCGTGCCTTGGCTCAAAAAAAAGTTTGAAAAACACTGCGGTAGAGGTCCCTCTTTGCCAATGGGATGCCAGGAAGATGCGCAGTAATAGCCAACGGCAGAGCAGTTAAAAGTATGTTGCGTTCAGGAAACTCGGAGCTGCGAGTAGCAGCCCATACTGTATTTTTACCTTTCGTATCTTGAAATTTCTTTCGTAACAGGAGGCAATATTTTCCTGTTGAGGCGTTTCGTAACTTGAAAATTTTGTATGAAGAGGCGTTCGTAAGTAGAGGTACCACTGTACTCTAACCATTTACCGCAGTGTTACACAAGTAAAACTGGTCTCATTATGAGGGTTATACGCGAATCTGTGGTGAAATGTTGCAATACTGTTGTGTAAACCGTCCCTTTAATGAGAATTCAATGTGTATGATGTAGCTATGTGGGGAGTGCGCAGGCGTGTGTGCAAGAGCCTTTGTCAAGCTTTTTCTGGTATCTGGAAGCATATGCAGATACTGTATTTGTGAATATTGAGCTAGCTACAGTAAAATTATCTTTACACCAACGGTTCAGCAGTCTCGATGAAATCCATCTAGTCAGTGTATCAAATCTCTGTTCGTCGCCTCTCACTCACAAAATCACGCATGGCGCAAAAAACGAAAGCCGCTTGCACCAGAGACGACTTCTCCTCCCTCAGCTTAGCTGATGTGCTGATACCTGCTAAATCAGTGCTAACAAGCTAATTAGCATGCGAAAGAATCATGATAACGCCTTGTTTATTATTGTTTGTCACGCTTAGAGCTCCATTTATGTCTGTTGTTTGACGCTAGACGATTTGTGTTGTATTTATTTACAATAAGCTAATGCATGTGTTAAATCTGTTCATTCCAGTTTCACTCTACATTTCAATGAGCTGCTGTCACAGTTGTTCACTGTACGCCGTCAAGACGAGCGCAATAAAGGAGCAAGACGCTCAGTTTCCTGGCTCATAAATAAATGAGTTTGGCTTGCTGCTGACCTGCGTTAACATACCCGGAGTATCTAACACGTACCGATAAAAGTACTATATATATATATATTTTTTTTTTTTTTTTTTTTTAAATCAGCTAGCTGTAGTTTTTTTCCTGGCAAATATCAATATCGGCCTAAAAAAATCCATATTGGCCGTGCCCTAGTCCTGAAGTGTCTGGCCACAACCAAGTACCGACCGCATTTTCCACACAAAAAGGCGCACTGGATTATGAGACGCACCTTCAATGAATGGGCTATTTTGTAATTTTATTTTCATATATTGGACGCACCGCACTATAAGACGCAATCTACAATGCATCCACTAGATGGAGCTACGCTCAAGGAAATACTAACAAAACTGTAGCAACGGCACTCGAGTGAAGCGCGCCTCAGCAGTCCATAGTCCGCTGTTCTTTGTTGTGCGCACGTGAGCGCAAGCACATACGCACGTGGTTCAACCAATCAGCGCCAATGCAACAAGTCACAGATCAAAGAAGCTTTGAACAAACGACAACAGCTAAGCTTAGCTGTTGAGTGGCGTTGCTACAGAACGATCAGATGTCAGTAAAACCTATTTAATAAAGCAGCGACACAGTTCACTTAACCGACAGCAAGTTATAACATTGACTCATTAACGTAGAACTCTCTTGCTGCTGCTCTATTTCCGTGTTCAACTGCATAACCCGATCACCTTAAGTTTGAACTCTGCGTTGTAAGCATGTCTCTAGCGAGGAGCCATTTTGGGGTTGACATATTACCATAATAACCATTCACAAGGTGCATCGGATTTTAAAGCGCGCTGTGAGCTTTTAAGAAAATGGAAAGCTTTCAGGTGCACGTTTTAGTGCGGAATAGACGGTAGATATTTTAACCCAGCCGCTGGGGAGCAGTGCCCTCCCCTGGGGATACACTGTTCCCCGGTGCCGGTCCCAAGCCCGGAGAAATGGGGAGGGTTGCGTCAGGAAGGGCATCCGGCGTAAAACTTTTGCCAAGACGGACATGCGAGTTGATCGGGCGGTTTGCAGGGACGGATGGGAATTAATGACTCACTGTGGCGACCCCTGAAAAGGGACGTGCCGAAAGGAGAAGAAGAAGAAGAAGATACGGTAGATATTTTGTCATCTGCATATTTCTCAATTGTCTTTGGAAGTTTCACTGTACTACATGACCAAGTAACACATCAGTAAATCAAATTTATGTTTCTTAATATGCTCCCATCCTACTATACTCCCATCCCCCAAAAGTAATCCATGGTATCATTGGATCTCAAAAGCTCTTACCTTGCTGCTGATCATGTCAGTAATACGGGCCTGAGGGCTCTGGCCAGATTTTGACCTGACCATCACATAGACAGTGTTAACTCCTGGGCACGACCTGAGCAGCTTCTCCAGCATTACCTGTAATAGTCAACAGGGAAGGGGTATAAACATTTCTTTCCTGTCGCTACATAAGTCACTAATACAGACAATGAAATGGAACATATTGTTCTTGTCTCCACCATATAGAGACATCATTATTTGTGGTGTAGTATGTTCCTAGATTTCTTAAAAATCACTCAGCACTTACTAACTGGGTTGCAACATTACTTCTTCCTACTTTACTTCATTACATTTAAATTTAAATCAGTTTTGTTGGTCATTTTCTTCTGTCATGTTTGAAATAAAGAATTCAACCAATCAATTAATCAAAACACTTATGCTTCTCATACACTGCGTGTGTCAGTACTATTAAGCTAGTAGAAATACTTGACTGTGCAGGGAACAGAGACTGAAAGGACTAACGAAATACATTTCTTAGATTTTATGACTGATGAACATTTACATGAAAAACCCATATAGAACACGTTAAATCATAGGTATCCCAAACTAGTGCTGTAATACATAAGGTCAAAGATTCATTTAAGAGGTAAGTACACCAAAGCACTCTTTCCTTTATGGAAAATTGTTCATAAAAGTGGATATAGGGACCTTTACTACTGTAATCCAATATTTATGCAGTTCAAATCTTTAAAATTCAATGAATTGGTGGAATATAACTTCCATGTGTTATGTTTTAAGCGAATGACCAACTCATACGAAATAGCTTGCAAAATAGATTTAAAAAGAGGAATAAAGAAATGGTTAAAAGTGCAATTACCGTATTTTCAGCACTGGAAGGCGCGCCTAAAAGCATTACATTTTCTGACAGTGCATTTTATAATCCGATGCGCCTGATGTATGGATTAATATTATCAGCCATCTCGTTACCTCTGCGTCCCGCGTCCGAGATGCATAATTTCCCGCGGGACGCACAAGTTCCAAATATTGTGCGTTTTTGGGACGCAAGGAAATTTAGCAGTCAAAACAAACAAAAACAAAAAAAACTACGGCAGGCCTGAGGATTTCACGGTAAAGATCGTTACCGGTAGCGTGTTGTTTCCGTGGCGTCATTTTGACGGTACCGAAAAATCGTTTAACCATACAAGTCACCGCACACGAGTTGACTGTACGCGATCAAATCTCTCCTGTGTGATCAACGCGATTTCACTGTGCCTGTATGTGTGTTTGTGGTGTTGTGTGTGTGAGTGTGTTTCTTCTAATTTACTTTCGTTTTGTTTTCAGTTCTGTGGGGGGACGAAACAGATAACGTTATGTGCGCATGCGGGTTGCTATTTTAGTCCGCAAACTGAGGAATCGCGCGGATGAAAGTTTGAGATGGCGGCGAAAACAACACACAAAGGTCTACTAATTACGACATTTAAGAAATGGGAATGCCAGTCTGATTTTTCGTATGAATCGTCCGAAGGGCGTATCACTATCTCACCTGTGATGTATGCACAGACCACGAGAGCGAGATACGACGGGAGGCACGATTACGAGGCAAGTTGGTCATTAGATCCATAGGCTAATCGCTATGAAAAAATATTATGAAACAGTATTGGTTATTCTATAACTTACTGGTTGTAGCATGATAACATTCGTCACGAGGTGTAGTAATGCTAATGTTAACTGTTGGTAGAACTAACGATGACGTGTGTTAGATTCTTTCGTCAAATTGATAGATTACACATGCATCGACTTGGGAAGAGGATGTCAAGCCACGTCAATACTTACCTGGATTAATGATTACCAGTAAATTAATCTTTGCAGTGTGAGATTGGAAAAACTACTCTGATTTTGTGGTATGCTGTATTCATGATGCCATATGAGTACACTATATTTTCATCCATTTATTTTTTTGAATAAACCTGGAGTACGCAGCTGCTGATGTAAGTTTTCAAACATTTACACTTGAAACATTATACTTTTGAGTTTCATAATTCTTGATTATGAATATCAGTCAAAATAGAAAAACGGGTTGAACGTTGACGAAACCCAAAATTAGTTACCGTGGTTTCCCATTGGGTAATCCGACGGAACCGAAAAACAGTTACCGTGAATTTCCGAAATCCTCAGGCCTGCTACTGAATTATTTAAATTTTTGCATCATTTGTTTATAATTGTATGTATATGTTGTTGTTTGTGTTATTATCATATGCAATTGAATAAGTAGACCATTTCAGAATTCAAAATTTGGGACTCTCTAAATGCATAATGGGACTCACACTTTTCTGATCAGCGAGTCCCTGGGACTCGCTGGGGGTAAACTGTAAAATTATCACTGTATTATGATTTCTTGGACGTAGTATTTTAAATGTTCTCTTTTGCAGCTGCAGCGATTGTGAAAGCTCTATATAAATAAAGCTGTATTGTATTCCCTTTAGCTCCACCTAGTGAATGCATAACGCAACCGCAGCCACTATTGTAGCTTCTATTCTCTGCGTCTTTTAATGCGGTGCGCCCTATATAAGAAAACAGTTTTGAAATTGGCCATTCATTGAAGGTGCGCCTTATACTCTGAAGCGCCTTATACTGCGGAAAATACGGTACTAGAAAAAATATATTTGATACTGCTATATAGAAGCAGAAATAATACATTAAAATTACAAATTAGGGGATTGAATCAATTATGTTTTGTATTGTAAAATTTGATTTGTAAGTATGCCTTCACTGTAGATACCATTCATTTTATATTGATAAGCGGTAGGTAAGGTGTTTTTAACTTCTTTCTGCCCCTTTCATTTCTTTTCTTTTTACTTTTGCGCTGGTAGCACTGGTGCGTCCAACTTTTTTATTTGGTCGCACCAGCACAGATTTGGTTGCACCCTTTTGGGGGTTGGTATAGCCTGCTATTGTATAGTTGTCTCAACTGGCATGCAGGCGTTTCATATGATGTAGATTGACAGTGACTGAACATATATTTGCAAAATATTTTACTGTAACTAGGTCTGGGTTTAAAAAGAGAAAAACATCTAGTGTGTGAAATAATAGCTAATAGCTAAACAACGTCAAATATGTTTTATTTGTATCAGTTTAATAAATTACAATTAATATAATTAGAATGCTGTCAATAACAACAAACAAAAAAACATTTTGAACACTTTTAAACAATTGAAAAAGCGAAACATTAAAAATGTGTTGACATCCTACTGATGTTTTATTTATATCCAGGACTCAACAAAGCCCTAGGGGCACCAAAATATTTGTTTTTTATGATACAAGTCTTTGGGGAGTATACAGTCTAATTTAACATTTGACATTTGACATCCCAACCACTAGACTGAAGAATGGAAGCCTAGTAACTTGATTAGGTATTAGAGCATGAGTGACTAGATAAGTGGTGGCCAACCCGCGGCTTGCGAGCTGCATGCGGCTCTTTGGCGGGTTCAATGTGGCTCCCGGGCTTTCACATGGCAAGAGTCGAAAATTACTCGGCAGTGGCGCTGCCATTAAAACAGAGCTAAGTACAGCAGAATTTACGATGTCAGCCTATCATCAATCCCGTTACTTGATTGACATAGAGGGGAACCAGTCAGATAACAACTGAATCACAACTCATGCGCAAACAACGGTGCTAAGCGCTAAGCTAGTCAGCGAATTACCTCTGATTTTAAGACAGGGGTGCCCAATACGTCGATCATGATCGACCGGTTGCCAGCGGACTTGTCCCATGTTGACCGCGTTCGTGAATCTCGTCACGAGACAAGAGCAGAGAAAAAGATTTCGTATAACGGGACAAGGATTTTTTGTCGTAGGGGGAGCAGAAAAGTGGGAATGGCTTTCATGCATGAAAATTTTTTCACATTAGGGGGTATTTTCGCCCATGTAGGTTTCGTTGTAGAGGAGTTTCACTGTATTAAAAATTATTGCACAGGTGTGCGTAATGCTGCTCACAATAAAATGTTTTGTTATACTGTGAGGGTCCTTTGGGTCTGAAATCCAGTCAGGAGCCGGTGTGATCACAATTTATACCACAGCTCCTACATAGAGTTGAGAAGGATTCTTGGTTGCAGCCTGTGGAATGCTGGTCCACCCCTCGTTATGCGAAGTTACTGGATATTGGCAGGAACTGGAAAGCGCTGTGAAAAAGTGCTGTGAAAAAGTATTTCCCCTTTTCTCAAATTCTCACACTTTTGCATAGTTACCCCACTTCAGTGTTTAAGACCATCACATAAATTTCATTATGTGACAACGATAACCTGAGTAAAAAAAAAAAAAAAGTGGTTTATAAATGGCTACATTATTTATTTGGGGGGGGGGGGGGGGGCAAACTATTCAAAGCTAATTGGTCCTGTGTGGAGAGATATTTGCTCCCGAAACCTAGGAACTGGTTGGGCTACCCTCAGCATCTATCACTGAAATCAAACGTTTACTCTAACTGGCGGTTTACATTTCTGTGGAGATATTTTGGCCCACACTTCCTTGCATAATGACTAATTCAACAACACTGGAGGGCTTTGAGGATGAATGGCCTTTTTAAAGTCATGCAACAGAATTTTAATCGAATTCAAGTGCAGACTTTGACTCAGCCACTAATTTTGTTTTTTTAACCATTTCAGAAGTTAACTTACTTGTGTGGTTTGGATTATTGTACTGCTGCTGAACAGTACAATCAAGCACACTCTAAAGCACACTCAAGCCAAGTGTGCTTTAGCTTGAGGTCATGAACCGATGGCCAAATATTTTCTCTCTTGATTTTTGGGTGAAGAGCAGAATTCATGGTTTCATCCATCCCAAGTCATCCAGGTCCTGAATAAACAAAGCAGTCCCAGATGATCACAGTACAGTTATCATGTTTGACTCTTGGGATGTTCTTTTTCTGAAATGCTGCATTACATTTCCGCCAGATGTAATGAGACACACCTTCCAAATAGTTCAGCTTAAAGCTTCAATTATTTTATTTCTCATCTGCTCTTGAATTTCTTTGGATCATGGCATTTTGTTGGAGGTTTTTGAGATCTTTTTTTGTCCATACTTTTTCTCAGTACTTTTTCAGAAAGAGTTAGGGAGAGTCGAACATTTTTGAACCTTTTCTGAATAAAAATTAAAACTGGCCAACATTAACTCCATCTTGAAAAAGGCCCAGCAGAGGATGTACTTCCTGAGGCTGCCGCCACAAAAAATTACAAAGATCCAACTGCAACAGACAATTAGGACTGTGGAAAAATCATTGGCACCACCCTACCCACTCTCAAGGACTTGTACACCGCAAGAACCAAGACAAGGGCACGGAAAAACCTACTGGAGCCCACACACCCTGCCCACCACCTCTTTCAGTTACTCCCCATTGGTAGGCGCTATCGAACCATGCACACCAAAGCCAGCAGACATCCGAACAGCTTCTTCCCTCTTACCATTAACTCCCAAAACAGTGACTCAAATCTATAGTGGCTCCTTGCACATGTTGCACACACCCCGTGGGACAGGATTACTGATAATTATAGATCCAGCTCTCTACATACCTGAACAATTGTTGTTAATCAATATTCCACAGCACTAGACACTTTAAAGCCTTCAAGAACGTTCTGAATAATTGCACACCGAAAGTTGGACCACAATTGCTGCTACTGGTCACTTAAAAATGGTGCAACGATTATTTGCACCAACAGTCCTAGTATTGTATCGCACCACTGATCAGTTTCTCTCTCCTCGATGACTCTGCACATCACACAGCTGTCATTGGTGATACTATTGCACAATAGTACTCTGACATCAAGAAAAAGGTTTTCTACACTTATATGTCATTTCTTTGCTGATCGTAGCTTCTTGTTATTGCAATACTAGTGTAGAGACAAATTTCCTGTTAGTTTTCCATACTTGATACTTGGCCAACAAAGCTGATTCAGATTATCATTTGCAAACACGTGCAACAAAAAGGAATAAAAACTGCTCTACACAAAGTGCCAATGTGAAGGGTGTATATATACTAGACAAGATGTATACTACACAAGATGCACCGGGTTAATAGGCACATTATTTTTGTGAAGTCTGTATTTTGAATGGTTTATTCTAAATGTAACAAATCTGTATTTGTTATGCTACATTTAGACGGGTCACAAAATATCCAATATTGCCACGTGCTTCGCTTGCTTTTGTTCGCTGTGCAACTACGCTTGGGGCTCCTTTGAGTGGAGAAGAGGAGGGGATCTTCTGGCAGATGTTAAAAAAAAAAAAAAAAAAAAAAAAACAAATTTGGAAATCTCTTGTTAATCTGGTGATGGGTGTTTGTGTTATTACTTTGATTAATGCTAAATGCCATTTGGGTTGACAGTTCAACATCTGTAAACAAGTCAATGCACTCACCATTATCCAAACTTTTTTTTCTCCCCCTCTGTACCAACAACTATTGGAAGCTGGCTGAGTCATTTACCTTGCGCCGGTCTCGTCTCACATTGTAACATTGGAAATATGCTGCCAGAAAAGCCCAGTTTACGTCAGTCCGAACCAGCGACTGCTGGCATTTGGCTAGTAGGACTACATTTCCCATGATTGTTAGACACAAAAGCAGGAAGTAGCCCTTCTTCCAGCATGACGAAAACAGATGTCTGCTAGTAATTAGATGCAGATGAAAATTAGAATGCAAACATGAATGCTGTGGTAATTAAGAAGGAATTAAACTTCATGTTTACCTCTCAGTCCCACAGACCGCAATGATATTGTCCCACATTGTAACACTGGAAATGTGCCACCAGAAATAGCTCGCATTAGACTAGTTGGACTATATTTTCCATGCTTCTTTGACACAGAAGCAGGAAGTAAGTCCTAGTTCATATAAACGTCTGCTAGTGATTAGGTGCGGATAAGAATGACAAACCGAAGAGCTGACTTTCATCCATATACTGTACAAGGCGCACCACATAAAAAGGCACACTTTTTAAGAAAATTAAAGGATTCTCAGTAAACCTTAAGGTCCAAAAAATACAGTATTTGGTTTTTATTTTGCCTTGTTTTACTCTGCTGTCTGCGGCTGGAATGTCGGCATTGCAGAGAATGTCTTGCCTTACCTGGATTAAAGTAAGGATAAATAAATGATCTTTGTCAGTTTAACACTATGAAGTTTAAGAGTGCAAAAACTAAGGAGTTTCGTGAACAAGAAAAATTACACGAGGAATTCCTAGCTCCTACGTTGCCATTTTATTGCACAAATTATATTTAGTAACATAAGTGGCGGCTCATAAAGGCCCTCCTCACTGAGAGGCAGTAGAACTAAGTCAGAATGATTTTTAAGATTTCTGCCTCACATTTAACAAAAACACACTAAAATTATCAAGTCTTTTCATATGCACACATCCACAGGGTATAAAATTAATACATTATATTAATTAAGACTCAGAATACGTTTTTAATCAAGTGCTGTATGTGTGCGTGTGTGTGTGTGTGTGTTTGTGCATGTGCATGTGCATGTTTGTGTGTGTGTGTGTGTGTGTGTGTGTGTGTGTGTGCGCGCACACTATTTTGTAGTTCTAAATTATGCTACGTGATTATTCATAAAATATCACATATTTCAAAAGGAAGAAATGAATTTCATAAAGTATATATAGTCATACCATGCTGACACCGAAATCTGCTTATGCTTGATCCACACATTGGTTGAGCCAGACCTACTGACTCGCTGCCAAGTCAATTACTATTGTACCTTTCCCATGAAGCCAGTTGCTCCAGTGATCAGCACATTTTTCCCTGCATAGTATTCCGGTATGTTCATCATGTCTGCAAATGTGTTTGCTGAACTCCTCATCACCACTCCTCCTGTTCAAAAAGAATAACAAAAATCACAACAAAAAGTATTAGAGCAACGACAACATCTTAAAGCTTTGCCCAGTTTATTTTTTTTACCCCCAATGTGGAGAAGCACTATAGAATCATCAGGAGTTTGAAACATACATGTGTCTTGTTCCGAATTGAAACTTGGCACATGCAGTATAGAGCCAGGGGACAGCCTGCCTGCCAGCAGTTGGGTTAATAAAGTTTGTGTACACAACACAAGGGCTGATTAGCATTTGTCTGGTTATGAGGGATGTGTTTATTCTTTCTAAGGTTGGGTCTTATCAGTGAAATCATGTTGGCTTTTCAAGAAGACAGACACTGTCCAACTGATAACAAGCCATTTAGATACCTTAAATCAATATTGACACAGCATTAGGCGTAGAAAAAAAAGTAGTGTGTTTCCGGTAACCCGACCGACCGAGAATTTCTACGTCGAAAAAAAACTTTACGGTCGGCATTTTTTTTCAAACAACCCTCTACATTTTTGTGTAGAGGGTTTACATCGGTGCAAACTCTGGCGATATTCACGTTGAGCGTGTGCGTCGTTTGCCCTGTCGTCTGTCAACAACATTGAAACATGGCGGCGGCCGCGATCTCCGACGACAGTTTAAACCGCGTTTTCTGTGTTACAGTCGCAAGCTCGCACCGTAATGTTAAGAAAATAATGTTTTGATTGTAAAGTGTCCTTGAGTGTTTTGAAAGGCGCTTATAAATGTAATGTATTATTATATTATTATTATTAAAATAGCATCCATTGACGTATCAAAGAAATTCAGCGAACTATTTGATGAACACCACGGACCGAGTAAAAACCGAGGGCGGAGGAGGGCGGAGGAGGGCGGAGGAGGACGGAGGAGGACGGCGGCGCGCCCTGGTCCCCCGAGTCCGGAGCGGGGAGAAAACTAAATAGGTGGCGGCAGCCACCATGTTTTATGGTTATTTTGTTTAAATTTTTGATGGAAAAAAAAAAAGATTAAAAAAAAAACTTTGTACGACCTACCGACCCTATGCAGAAATTTCATGTTTCCGGAAACACACTGTCTTTTTTGTTTGGCCTTATCTCTTTTCTCCACAAATACACACATATTCACTACTGAAGGGCTGTAGACAACCATGAGTATCATCGGTGGGGGAGAAAAACAATATGAATGCTTTCTTGTTTATATTAATAAATTGTAACGCTTTTGAGGGCATGGAAGGATACTTAACATTAAGTCGAAATGGACACCATATGGTGAAGAAAGGTGATGACCAAGGAAACATGTTATTATACTGGAATACAATACATTTTAACATATTATGTACTTTATTTCTGTATTTGAAATAGTAAACAGGTTTAAAATTAAGCCCGTATCTCACTGAGCAGCAAAGTGTGCGCGCACGCAGCAAATTTTTTCCGTCACAAGGCTGTTTCACCAACGATTTTAATGGTCTCAAACTGTTTACGTTTTTATTTTTGTTGCTTGAAATTTTGAACATGTTCAAAATTTGATTGCTCACAAGAAAAAATGTGTGTGGCCGTTATAACTGCTTGGGAATGTCTTTGCAACAGTTTACAACATTGAAAAAAACCCCAAAACAAAACAAAAGAAATTAGCTCGGTGGGCACACACTTGCAAACCTTTGTCAGTCAGTTTGATACGGGATTAAAATAAGGCATATTGTTTATTTAATCTTTTTATTATTTGTTTATGTCATTATTGTTGTTATTATTATAATTATTATATCAAATAATAATATGCATTGCTGGGAAATCCAGGGATATATGTTGCCAAAATTCTGGTACATTCTTAGCTCTGACACCATACTGCAAGGCAATTTTAATGGACAGTCCAGCATGACAGTTCAGACATCTTTATTTGCTCTGTATATAGCACTGTACCGAGTCAGTCACGATTCAAAATGGATTTGTGGAAATCATTGTTATTGCAAAAGACAATCTACGCGGATATGAAAAAGGGAAGGAATGTTTAAAGTTCCGTTTGTACATGAGTGAGAGCTTCGACAAGAGAGCGGTGCAGGGAAGAGAAATAACACATTCAACTAAACACATTACAATTGCTTTCATTGCAGTAAAAACAAAACCGGACTTTCCATTCATTTGAGTAACGATAGCAGCTCGTCTTTGGCTGCAGGCTTTCTGTCCCTTGTGGGTGTCATTAGCATTTCTGTGACAGCTAACGAGTTGACACGAGGCAAATAGTAAACGTGACCTTTGCAGGTACAAGGCAGGCAGGAGCCAAGGCAACATTTTAAAAAGGTCTACAAATAAAGAGAATGGCAACGTCGCCAGTTCACCTCCAAAATGCCTACACTTTGTAAAATGGGCTGAGAAAAGTCATCTGAATTGACGGTTATGTTTTAAGTCCTAAAACATTACCGTCAATTCACCTAAAATTTAGGTTAATCGACATTTAAAAAAAAAAAAAAGTACATAAAATGCTTGTTTGCACACTGCATTATTTGTGCAATCTTTGAAGAAATGGTGTAAATGTGTGCACCAACATGTGTATGTGTTTGTGAATCCTTCGTTATCCAGCCCAAAAGAGACATTCTTACGGGAAAACTGTCTGTTAGGATCAAAAAGTTGGCTTTCGAAGACCCAGTCATGTCTAGCTCGTGTACAGGCTAAAAACAAACCAGATGTGTCATAGAAAGCAGGGTAATCTTAGGTCTGAACTACTGTGACCTTTAATGAGACGTCTATTCTAGAGCTAATGCAGCTTACAGTTAGACAGACAGGCAGCAAGCTGATCTTTGATGTGACGTTCACACGATCAATAATTCATCACTTTAGATTGTATATTAAGCTATCCAGGCACAGCGGCATGCATGACAGGCAGAGGAAAGTTTTGGTCTCAGAGGCACATTGCTGCGCTTGGGTGAGAACAAGAAGGCTCAAGTTTCTTTTTAGGGTGGTTATGCGCTGACAAATCACCTCACTTATTTAAATCTGTCAGGACGAAAAGTAGGAAGAGAACACTGAAAGAGTTGGCTGAAGATTCAACAAAAGCAACCAGTGCCAGGGCACATTCGCATGAAGTGAGGATTCAATATCACACTCTGAGCACAAGTCCATAACAATTTGCCTATTGAGATACGGTATTGTCACAAGGCTCTAATTGCACGTGACTTGTAGATACTTGAGTTAGATGTCAAATGATCTCCTCCAGTTTAACAAAGACCAACAGCTCGAAATTAAAGGCCACTTGTCAATCCCAAAAGAAGCCACTTACTGTATGTCAATATTATGTATAATTATGTACAGTACAAACATTAGGGCTCAATGAATGTTTTTTTTTAAATGTGATTTCTTTGTCAAGATGTATATATTTTTTTAACAAACACAAACAATAAACCAATCGGCATTACAAGAAACAATATCAGATTAATTAGACATAAATGTTTTGATCTTATAGCATCGTCCTCCATTAAACCTTTTTGGGTGGTGGCCTGACCATGTTATGTTGACTCTGCTAAAACGAGCACTGTGCCCGGATAATCTTAATAGAATATGTCAAGTAGCAATGATTATTTCATATTTTGCATTTTTATAGTGTTTTAGTTTAGCCTTTCAGAAAATATTGCTTCTGTGTATTTATTTGTTTTGCATGTTGTTTTCTTTTTTTGCAGTATAAAATAAAATTCAATTGAGCATTTGACATTTTACCTTTTAACCGGACAAGCAAAACGATGTGTAGCACAGTAAATACATCAACAATGATTGACCATTTTAAGTCGAAAACCCTTGCCTCCTCAAAATATTAAATATTTAAAAAGCAAGAAAATCTTGACTTCATCATATTTATTTATTACTTTTATACAGGCGCAAATGGGCCAACATCAGTAAACTTCGAGTGGCCCCGGGCAGCTGATTAATTACTGTATGTGTGTCAAACTTAAGGCCCGGGGGCCAAATCCGGCCAGCTATATCATTTTATGTGGCCCGCAAAGACAAATCATGTGTCCACTGCATGTTTCTTGCTAAAATACCAAAACGTATTGTCTTCACTTAACATTGAGATGTTCAAGCATTTTTTGTTACCAATGCCTCTTTTATTTAAATTGGGAATCATCCCCAGTCATAATGGCACCACAAAGGCAAACCATAACTCTCTGTACAATGTGGCCGCGAGACAAAAAATGAGTTTGACACACCGCCGAATTAATTGTTCAGCCCTAACAAACATGTTTTCATGGACATTAATTGTTCAGCCCTAACAAACACGTTTTCATGGACTACTTTGAGGTAATGAGAACGATCATTGAGTTTTATACAACCATATGAATTAAATGTATTCACTACAGACGAAATTCTCAACCCATCAAAACAAGACATTTGCATTGAACAGGAAGATCCCCGCAGGCAAAACCGAGGCCACTGGATCCCGTGATTCCAATTCCTCACTGATGCCTCGCATCATTACCACACCATGAAGCTTGTGGAGTTCCACTTTTACAGCAGGCGTTTCACACAGCAACTATTGGAGGACCGCAATACCACTAAGAGCCAAACAGAAACTCGCTTCCCACAAACGCTTCGTGTATTTTCTGCTTTCGTCTGAGCCGCTGCACACGGAGAAAGTTCAACAGCTGGCTGACCACCGAGAAGAATTCAAATTACTGTTTAACACGAGAGTCGCGCGACGGCTTCTAAAGTGGCTTGGAGATTGCTAGGGACATGAAGGTTCTTGTGGTGTGGTCGACAAGGGAAGCGAACGCGTGTGGTCGCAAAAAAAAAACACGATTTTTACATTTTAAGCATCTCGAGCCGCCTGGCGCAGAAGTTGGCGATGAGAAAACCACCGGTGAAAAGGAACAATTCAGTTACTGGGGAGAATATCACGGATAGCATTACAATGGCACGGATGTTGTACCGCGGTTCTACGTACCGAAGTGTGGATATTTCCGGGCTTGCGAACTTGTTAGCCTGTTGCACAGCGTCCCGATAACAGGGAAGCAATCGGCAGGGATCGCGAAATTCAACGGTGGTCACTCACGAGGAAGCTGGTCGTGGGGCGGATAGTGTGACGTCACGACGTCATAGGAACGGCGGGCTGCACAGCAGAGCAGAGACAAAAAGGAAGTCTCCGTCTTGCAATCGAACAACTCATTATGTGGCTCAATGCACATGTACAAAAACAGCATTTGGGTGTTTTTGAAATCCCATCAAGTCAATTCACTGACTGTACCATAAACGGCAATAATTTGGCATCGCACAAAGAGATAACGTTTTTGCAAAAATACAATTTGAAAGCAACATTTTGTTGTACGTTTTTGTTCGACGCAAGTGGAGGCAATTAGTGTGGCCGGTCAAGACCAGAACACACCGGTGTAAAAACAATTAAGACATCATTTTAAAAAGCAGTAATGTGATCCTAAAACCTGTCAATGCGATTCAAAGCTAAAAGTTTGAAAAATGGACAACTCACACACTAAAAAAATGTAGTTCCGTATTAATTGCTTAGCACACTGCCTTGCATATCGATAAAACATAAGTGGGGCCCGTAGTGTTCCATTGTTTCCAGTAAAAAAACAAAAAACAAAAAAAAAAACAAGAATCTTATCATGGGACTTTGTATCTTTTATTACAAAGAATACATTCCAAAAAAACACAAACAATTGAAAAACTGATAGTTGCAGCAGGTTGGCTGTTCTTTGGTGAATCATCAATCACGACTTCACCATAGCTTCAGGCGTACTCGTGTATTTTCGATACGGCACTTAGTTCCTTATTTCGGGTCTGACAGCACACAAACAGATCCACGTCTGTAAGAGAAAAAAAATACAGGTAATGCAGCAAAGAAGTGAGTTAAGAGATAACCATACTGCATACTATTACTGAGCTTCCAAAAATTTGGGGAGCATAATTTAGGACATATATTAATTGTGTACTAATAGTTGTTCTTACCCTTGAGGTTGGCACTGAAGGTCATTGGCACAGGGGCAGTAGTCGCGAGGGCCCTCCTGGTCCCAGGCAAGCATGTCCATCAATAAATTGGGTTGGTTCAGACAGGCCTCTCCCTGTCCCGGCTTAGGGTTGCACACAGGGAATAAAAGCTCTGGAGAGAATAGGGAAGGGGGCAGACTAAACAGAGCCAGGCTAGACAAGCACATGGATTTCAAAACGTTTATTGTAATGAGAGTAGTACATCCTGAAAGCACGCCTGTCTTACGGTCAAAGGTCTTCTTTGAATCTGTTGGAAGTTTGCATGTCCACTTTTCTCCATTCAGTCCGAAGGTATCAATGCTAGATTTTTTTTAAACTCTAAATTGCCCCTAGCTGTGAATGTGAGTGTGAATGGCTGTCTTTCTGTGGTGCACCCTGCCTCGTGCCCAGTGTCAACTGGGGAAAACTCCAGCGCACCTGTGACCCTGAACAAAATATGTGGTAGAAAGCAGAGGTGGGAGTAAGTCTCATATGTGCAAGTCACAAGTCTCAAGTCGTAACTTTCAAGTCTCAAGCAAGTCCCAAGGGACTACTGTATCAAAAAAAAAAAAAGAAACGAATCAAGTCGCCTCCAAATTTCTAGCAAGTCACAAGTCAAGTCATAAAATCTTGTTCAGTAAAACATATGTTAGAGTGGTAAAATACTGTATTTTTTACTGATCCCACTATAAAAATACATAATCTCAAAAAAATTAATAAACATTTATGTTTCTGTAACTCCTAAAGTGAAATCAGGAACAATGAACGTATAAAATGAATGTTTACATGGAAATTATTTAGGAGAACGCATGTTATTTTTTTCATACTAACATTTATATGAGTGGCGCACTGTTAATGTGGTGAGAGAAACTGAAAATATGCAGAATGAGGACCTAAACATCTACAGTATGATCATCCCGTTTAAAAATTACCTACGTTGTTTCTGGTGCCAATCTGTTAGCCAAATCTAATTAATGTGTGTAAATGGGCGACTGAAATGCAACAACTTTGTGGAATGTGTAGCTTGCTGCTTTTTTTAAATTGAGGTGCATTAGTTGAGCCCCATCAAATATGGCGGACAGCTTCACGAGCAGAAAAATACTCTGTATAAACTCTATTTAATAACACTGTACTCTATGACAGTGTTTTTCAACCCATGTGCCAGGCACACCAGTGTGCCGCGAGACATTGTCAGGTGTGCCGCGGGAAAATATCCAAATATCCCATTTGTATGCCTGTGCGGTCTTTCGCCCAGAGTAGTACCCTCTCATACCGCTAGGGAGCAGCAACAGCTACCCAATGGCCTTGTGTTTCGACGAGAGACAAGCGAATTTGTGACGCATGAATGCAGGACGACGGTGAAACAATAAATATGAAAGATGATAAAATACTGTTTTCTTTGTGTTCATTTGATTCCAATTGAAGCTGTTATAACGTCATTCTTCAATGTTAAAAACGGTTATAGTAACAATATAACACGTTAGTTGGTAAAATAAGCGGGGGTGGGGGTGTTCACATTTTCAGCTAGTGGTGTGCCGCGAAATTTTTTTCAATGAAAGAAATGTGCCTTGGCTCAAAAAAGTTTGAAAAACACTGCTCTATGTTATACTTTATGAATTAATGTCGATAAGTAATGACGGCTGTTTTAAAGGGTATAGATTCAAGATTACACTGTCCTTGGTGTCTGATCCATCTCTTCATGGGCTTCTTTTAAATGCATGAAGTAGTTGACCAGCGATTGGTGAGCTAAACTGTCGAGCTAACCTAATAGCTTACGTTCACAGTGCTATCTTCTATAAGGCAGATAAAACTAAACTTATAGATGTTGTCTCTTCGATCTTCGAGTGTCAAAATTCGCATGCTGCTATTGTTTTTTTCCCGGTTTCATCAAAACCATCATCCTTGATTCCAAAGTTGTCTCCACATCTTTTTTTTCCTCTCCACAACTGACCACGACACTCATGACAGTACCACCGGTGTCTATGGTAGTTATGTTTTGGTGGATAGAAGCTACTTTTGAAGTGCACATCTCTTCATCATGTTAGGACAGGAGGGAGTTTTGCATGACTACACAAATGGTAATGCAACAGTCGAAACCAACGGTTCGGAGAGTTTTCACAAACAATCCCAGTTCTAGTTATATTATTTAGCTGAACTTAAAACCCCCGTGCAATGCAGGTACACTTCATGTACACCTGATATGCGTTGTGTTGTAAAAACGAATGCATGCCACAGGTTTAAAACCCATGCATGGCATGCATTTGTTTTTGCAACACAACGCATGTCAGGTGTACATGAAGTGTACCTGCATTGCACAGGGGTTTAAGATGATTCCCAATCACCTTTTTTTTTTTTTTTTTACTGGTCCCAAACCAGTGTTCGTATCGCAAGTTAAATTGTATGGTTAGCTTACCTGTCTGTAGGTTGTGTAATTACGGATAAAGACGACGTTGCTGTGAGTTCATTCTGTGAGATGTAAACCATGTGTTTTGCCATCCTCTTTTCGTTAACGTCGTTGGTGTAATTACGGATAAAGTAAGACGTTGACGTTGTTGTGAGTTCATTCTGTAAGACGTAAACCATGCGTTTTGCCATCCTCTTTTTGTTAACGTCGTTGGCAAAATAATCCGTAAATTAAAATCAATGATCCTCTCAGGGTGGCACGGTGAACCACTGGTTAGCACGTTTGCCTCACAGTGCAGCGGTGCAGGGTTCGATTCCGGCTCTGGCCTCCCTGTGTGGAGTTTACATGTTCTCCCCGTGCCTGCGTGGGTTTTCTCCGGGTACTCCAGTTTCCTCCCACGTTCCCTAAAGATGCATGGCAGGTTAATGGAACACCTCGGTTTGAGTGTGAGCACGGATGTTTGTTTGTCTATGTGTGCCCTGTGATTGGCTGGCAACCAGTATAGGGGGTACCCTGCCTACTTCCTGAAGACAGATGGGATAGCCTGCAGCATGCTTGCGACCCTTGTGAGGATAAGCCAATTTGATACCAAGTCCCAAGTCAAGTCAAGTCATTCCCATCTTTTTGGCAAAAATTATCAAATTGAATCTCACTCGAGTCAAGTCGTATACCCATCTCACCCCCATCTCTGGCAGAAAGTGTATGAATACAATGGGTTGAATCCTTCATGTTAGTCTTTGAGGAAGTGTGACAGAAAAGAGGTTACCTCGTTGGAAGGCACAGCAGAGGTCTCGTTTGCAGTCATTCTGACCCTGACATATTGTTCCCTCTGTTCCCTCAGTGGTATTAACTGTACACTGGCCCCAAACACACAACTGACTTGAGCAGCACTCTTCATTCTTTGTGCAGGGCTAAAAATGGAAAGACATTCAGATGTACAAACTGTAATGATAATTTTTAATATTAACGATATTAAGAAGATGGAAAGACATTCAGATGTACAAACTGTAATGATACTTTTTAATATTAACGATATTAAGAATGCATCCAATTTATATGGTGCTTTTTCTGGACACTCAAATCACTAACAATGGACATTTTTTTATGTGCTCACAGATTTACGCTCTGGTGGTGGTAAACTATGATCTGTAGCCACAGATGTTCTGGGCGGGCTGAAGGAAGCATGGCTGCCAGTGTGCGCCTAAGGACCCTCTGACCACCACCAAACGTTCACACCCAGCCATACACCAGTGTGAGTGGCACTGGAGGCAACTAGGGTGACGTATCATGCCCGAGGACGCAACGACACATGACACGGACAGAACAGGAATAGAATCGGTCAACCCTTTGGTTTCGAGATAACCCGCTCTATATGTGTCACGGCCCTTCAAATAGTTTACATGACCCAACTCATACCATGGAGAAGTCACAGTGAGATTTTTACTGATGATGGAAAGAATTGTGTTTTGCAAGCAGTATTGATCAGCTGAATTAGACTTTTACAGGGCCATTGGGAGGGACTACATTACCACGATGGCTGGGATATTGGAATTAATTTGAAGTTATGTATGACATTACAAGTCCATCCAGCTGTAACTAGGCTTTTGATGATTGATTTGATCATGTGTAAAATTTGAGCATTTAGAAAGATTCTTATTTGACAGTATAAACCTCAGCATTCATTACACCGGCAGTCATTTATTTCATTGCTCACATAAAAACTGGCTTGTTTAACGGAACAAAGAAAAAGGATAACAATAACAGGACGGACTTCCCACCATATCAGTTGGTATGCAGGGGAGGCACTTGGAGCTGTCAATCCGATACAGGCAATACTTCCGCTCGCCACAGTCCTCGTCCACCAGGCACTCCTGTGGCATGAGATATACGTTACGTATAAGCATGGCATTACACGTCAACTTTGCATTACTAGACTGACTGTGTCTGTGGAGCTTTTTCAGCACATAAACCTAAAATCTCCTCTTATTCTTCCCTGCTTACAACTGCCTTCATTTTGTGTCTAAACCAGGGTTTTTGGGCTCCATTCCGGGCCATGGCCTTCCTGTGTGGAGTTTGCATGTTCTCCCATGCCTTTGTGGTTTTTCCCCGGGTGCTATGGTGTTCTCCCACATTCCAAAAACATGCATGGTAGGTGAATGGAACACTCTAAATCAGGGGTGTCAAAGTCATTTCTTGTCGCGGGCCACTTTGGAGCTACGGCTTCCCTCGGAGGGCCGGTGCAAAATCTCAACGTTATTTATTACCCATGACAATTTGACATTTCGGTCCAGATTTCGGCAAGAATCATGAAAGTTGACACACATGATTTGCTCCCGCGGGCCACATAAAATGACGTGGGGGGCCGGATCTGGCCCCCGGGCCTTGACTTTGACACCTGTGCTCTAAATTGTCCTTAAGTGTGATTGTGAGTGAGAATGATTGTTCATCTATGTGTGCCCTGCGATTGGCTGGTGATCGCGCCCACTGCCCGAAGACCACTGGGATCGACTCGAGCATGCCAGTGACCTTCGTGAGGATATTGGTTCAGATAAAAGATGGACCGATGGATGTCATTCACCATTTCATCACCCACATCTGAATTTGTTGTTGTGTGTCCACTGATACGTCTACATAAAACATCCTTGCAGCTGATCACACTCCTTTGGAATTACTAAATATATCCAATGCATACTGTAGAGTGAGCGTAGCCCGGTGTTCAAGTGGTTAGACCGTCAATCTCACAGTGCGGAGGTGCAGGGTTCGATTCCAGCTCCGGCCTCCCTGTGTGGCGTTTGCATGTTCTCTCCAGGCCTGCGTGGGTTTTCTCCGGGTACTCCGGTTTCCTCCCACATTCCAAAAACATGCACAGTAGGCTGATTGAGCACTTCAAATTGTCTCTAGGTGTGAGCGTGAGCGCGGGTGGTTATTTGTCTCTGTGTGCCCTGCAATTGGCTGGCAACCGGTTCAGGGTGTCCCCCGCCCACTGCCCAAAGACAGCTGTGATAGGCTCCAGCACCCTCCGCGACCCTCGTGAGGATAAAGTGGATCGGAAAATGGATGGATGGATACTGTAGAGTGAACAATTTTGCAGGGTAATTTAAAAAAAAAAACATTTCTGAACCCTGCACAGGCTTTTGGGGTAAAAGGTTACTAATATCTTGAAGAATTAAACACTTATAAAGATGAACGTATAATTATGTACTGTGTATTGCATAATGGCCAGTTTACAGTAAATACAGTGCACTTGAATCTATGCCCATATTTTTTCACAAAACAGCACCACTTCATGACCCTTTGTTGTTTTTGTTTCTCTTCCCTTAAACGTAGGTGCTAGCAGTGCAAATCTACCGAAGCATAATTAAAAACAGTCTGGAATGTTATGTTTTATGTCAAGTATGAAGTGCGGGAGCCTGGACCTAATGACCACCAGAGGGCATTGAACTTTTCCTTGAAACAGGCTGTCAAGCACAACAGTGGACTCGCCAAATGAAGCAATGTTGTTCGTGTGATTTGTTCATTTGAGAAGATTATTGAAATAAATTCGTATTTGGCCCTCCTCACATTTTGAACCAATGGAAAACCCCTCAAAAACGGCGGTGTTAAAAAGGCCCCCTTACTATTGACCACAGTCAGTAGGGGGCACACCTAACATAAATGAAAACCAACTAATCTTAACCATTTAAAACAAAAAGTTGCTGATTATGTGGTTTAGTCTTTACATGTTGTGTTCATTTAGTTTGTTGAGTTTTATAGTACATAGTCATCATTTGCTTAGCTCATGTACAGCCAGACCAGTAGTTAAAATCACATGCACAGAATAAATTGAGAATAAATTACATTATACCAATAGACAAGATCATTTTAAAAGCCTCATCCCATCCACTGTTCATATTCTAAGGAGAGTTTCTCTCACTTTTTTCCCCCTACAGCCTTTGTCATGAGATCTTCCTGAAGTAATAAAAAAACATATTGGAAACTGTAAGTAGGGGCCAGACAACCCTGTAATTATCTTAATATCTTCCAGACAAATACTGCTGCTGTTAGTCATGTGCACAGTAGCACTGATCAGTCAAGTCCAGGGGTTGGCAACCCGAGGCTCCGGAGCCACATGCAGCTCTTTCATCCTTATGTTGTGGCTCTGCGTGGCTTTGAAAAATAAATGATAAGTGGCCGATTGAAGTGTATGTTATTTGTCTCAAAAACGTGCATCACTTCTGTTACGTTCTCTGATTGTACATTAGGTGGCAGTGTTGCTATAAAAATAGTGTTGAGAGGAAAAGGGAAGGAGAGGAGTTAGGTAATGGCGATGATAGTAAATTGTATGAATGAGTGTTGTGCTGTTGATAACCTGTTAAGAAAATACAGTGTTTGTCTACAGTCTGGCCTTGTCATTTTGCCTCCTGACACCACAACTTCTTTCTTCAGACCTTTTCGGTGATCAGCATTCGCCAACTTCAGAGACGTTTGTGAACGCGTGTCATGTCAGCAATCAGATTTGACAGGCGGCACGCATGGAAAGCCCAGCAACACCAAAACTGCACAGTATTTGAACAAAGCATTTTATTTGCTTTTGTTCATTTTTTAATTGTAGATGTAAATTTTAAGATTATTGTGATTTGAAATATTAAAAATAATTTATGTAGTGTATTATTTTTCGTCGCTCAAAATATATGTCAGACTCTCCAACAGCCTGGCAAAACGACGTACATTTATCGAGACTTTCAACCCTAGGAAGGGCAAAGATGGAGAAATGTAAGAAAAGAAAAATATCTGAAGAAAATAGAACATTTAATGAAGCCTGGGCAGATTCATTTGCATTTTCCTCTGACAAGAGCTGGTCATATGCCTAATTTTTGGTGAAAAACTGGCCAATAATAAAAGCTCGAACATAGGAAGACAATTCCAAAATAAACACACAGCCTTTGCTGAAAAATATCCGGAGGGAGAAGAGAGAAAAAAAAGATGTTTTGGAACTGGGGCAGGAGGCTGATCTGAGGAAAAATCAATTCAAGAAGTGGATGTAGTCTGCAAATTCAACGACGTAAGCAAGTTTTGTGGCCGCTCGGGAAATAGTCAGACATAGGAAGCTGTTCACAGATGCAGAACACATGAAAGAGTCACTCATTAAGATTTCACTACTCCTATTCGCGGACTTTAAAAACAAGACTGAAATTGTGCAGAAAATCAGAGTGATGCATTTCCATTGTATTTTTCAATTCAAGTCAAGGCTCCGCGACACGCTCTGAAAGCCGAAAAGATGACGGCTCACGGCATTTTTGTTTCCTAGTTCAGCTCGAGAAGTTTGCTCCAAGTTCAGCGTTTTAATTAATTTGACAACACCCTATTTTACTAGTGTAAAATACACACACACACACACACACACACACACACACACACACACACACACACACACACACACACACGCTGAGAAAAAAAAAACTAAAAGGTAGCACTCCAAAAGGAGTGACTGGTACAGCTCAGCGTAACTATCACCTCTCTCTTCGACATATAAGTATTTTTATCTCTATTTTGCATTCCTGCATGTGTGTGATCTTGTTCTCTGTAAAGTGTGCTACATAAAATGTGCAGCAGTGTGTGAGTTCAATTTCCCCCGGAGGGATTTTATTGTGCTTAAAAACTAGACAGCTAACACTTTACCTCAGCCATGTTGCCTGATGACAAATGATGAGAAATGAAAAACATACTGTGTGTTAGCTGCATGCTGTAACGGTATGTAAAAACAAGTCTTTACAATACCGTCACCGTTTGAAAGCAGCCCAACCATGAAACCCTCCCAGTAGATAACATTTAGGATTTTTAAATGGTTGTATGTAGTTTTGTATTATTTAAAATAACTTTCTCGGCCTAGAGTTTGCTCTAAAAACAAACAAACAAAAAAAGATTCCTTAACATTTAGTCAGACACCATTAGCTGAACTCCAATCTCACTATCCTTTTTGCTTTTGGAACTTGTCTACATTTTCGAGATAGCGGTTGGTAACGCTCAAATACTTACATGATACACACTGTTCCATTCGCCTGAGATCTCTACATGGATATGTGATGAGTCTGTCTCTCCTGCTGTGTTATTAATTTCCTTAAAAAGACAAACAAGGCGAGCAAAAAATTCTGATGACTCATAAACATAATACAGTATAATACTTTATTTAACTGTTTCCTACTTCTGACACCCAAGCATGGAAGAACTACCTTGTCAGTTTGAATGGTTATGACTCCATCTTTCACAGTCTTGGTATTACTGTGGTGATGATGGTGATTTTCCAATGACTTGGCACTCTCCGTTGTTATCTGTGAGTTAGAATTCACTTTAAAATGTGCATACAAATAAAAGGCCAGAAAACGTGGAGGGTTACAACAAATATATTCACTGAAAACAAAAGGAGGGGCCCAGTGACACTCATTTGATTCATTCTGTCACACAGCTGTAAATTAAACTGCGTGTTTATTTTTACTGGGGTTGATTTGCATTGCTGAATAAATTGCATTTCATTCCACGAATTATTTTTGCCCCTCTCGTTAGTTAAATAATGTAACAAATAATATAACTGATTATACTTCTCAGAATGATATTTCACAACATGCACATACACGCCAGCAACAAAAACTTGTTAACTCATGAAAATGGCAGTCTTGAACTCGGGTGAATCAGTATCAATGTTAACGTTTGTTCTTTATCAATGTTAACGTTTGTTCTTTACTCGTTTTACAAAAACCACATCGCTCTAAAGTAAAGAATAGTGGCCATTAATTATACTATATTCGACCTGGTCGACGGCATCCTCCAGAAGGTTTTGGGTATCTTCCATCAACTCCTCCACTTCACGGAACATGTCGTCCAAGCTGACAAAGCTTTGCTCCTGGCCGTCTCGAATAATCATTGCCCGGCTCGGCACGACTCCAACAGCCCCCCACAACAAAAATAGACTGAAAGTAACAGATAAAAACACATGGCCGGACATTTCTGCCTCTGTTCTTCCTTGTTGTGAGCCCACGGAGCGCTCAGAGACGGATGACGCAGAGAGCACCACTGCACACAGCTGGTTCAGTTTTATTTGGAAAGTCTGAGGAAGAGTACGAATTCGCTTTAATGACGAGGAAGCGGCTGGATGCAACGCTTTTTTTTTCCCCCATGAAAAAGCTGCTTGGAGACTGTGCTGTATTATTTACTTAAACGGTGAAGCCTCCAAAATGAGTGGAAGTAGCATGGACGTGAATATTGATTGAGCTTTTCCACACATTTTGTGTTTCCATACGAAATTATTCACTTTACATTTCCAGTGAATGCATTGGTTACACATCTATATGATATCCAGCAGATGGCGCTGCTTTTCCCTTCTGGAAGTATGCCTCATTTTGATCAGTGACGTCATGAACCACTTGCATATCTCCTCTGCGCCTGCGTGCCAATCGAGGGTGGGGGTGGGGCAGGCTACAAAACTAGCCGTTTTGATTGATATAGGTGACGGTGTATGTTTAACTGTACACCCTAAATCTTTACAGGCACAGTTTAAAAGTCTTTAAGCCTCAAGTGACAAAACAAGAAGTGCACGTTGTGCCCTGTTAAACTGTTCTAATGTAATTCAGAGGCCTGAATATTGGTGTTTGTCCCTGAAAGGGTTAATCATGCTATTTGTGTTTTGCTGGCAGCTTTTGACAGTAAAACGAACTTAAGATTTACAAGAATCAAAGAAATTCAACCTATCGCAGTGCTATAAACACATTTTATAATGGTATGTGCTGTTGGTATGAAAATCCCCATGCAAATGACCACAAATGTCTGACATATGTCATCCTGTTGTCCACATGTCCTCCTCACTGCACACATCTAGCAAAATGTCATCCATTCACCCATTATCTTAACGACTTCTCCTCAAGGGATGCGGACTCAAAAACTTAACTGTCGTATCAAACAGCAGAGTTTAAAATAGCTAAAATAATAATTAACAACTTTCCAGCCGTTGAAATGAAAACCTATTCAGCAAGCTCTGCAGAAGCCTGATAACCTTGAATCTTGAATCAGGTTTGTTGGAGAGGGGAGACATGTAAAACATGCGGGAACACTCCGACATGCACTTAGCATGTTGTTCATTTGGGGTGTACAAAAAAAATCCATTCATTCAGTTATATGCCACGATTCAATAAATTGATGTCAAAGTTCAGAATCTATTTTCATGATTTTTCAAAAAGCAAAGATGAAGCTACCACTTTCCTTCATGAGCCATGCAGTCGTCTCTTTCTGAAATAAATGTCAGAGTGACTCACTTTCATCTGGCTGCATTGATTGAAGCACATGATTCAACCTATGTATTGTTCATGCTTTATATTGTTTAGAAATGTTTTAGAATGTTATAATTGAAGAAAATTAAATCTTGTTTGAGAAAAATACCCAAAACGGTGATTTTGAATCACAAATCGCATAATAATCAATAAATGGAATATAAACGTAATCGTCACACAAGTGTTGTGATTTGAATCAAATCGAGAAGTAAGTAAGTGAATCGTCCCACCACTAGTGTTCATACTGTACCTTTGCACATCGTCGCAGTAGACAAGGATGATTTAATTATGGTTGTGTGGCTGCCAAGTCTTTCTTACTTTCCCATTTGGATGGGCAAAGGGCATGAAACATTCCATACATTTGTGCAAAAAAATAACAAGTCTTTATTTACACTGCAGTCAAATTTGATTTGTTGATATCAAATTGGATCCTCAGACAGCACATCTCATGCCGGCAATATACCAGCTTACTGCTTCTCATGCACATAGTACCTGACACACATTATATAGCCATAGCACCACATGTACTTTTGTTGTCAAGTTGCTGTTCTCAACTGTCTCTGAACTCTGTTTTCATCCTCAAAGTGGTCTTCAGGATGTGGAGGTTTGACAACATCCACTGAAGAGCAACTCAAAGTGCCAGTAAATACAAACCCAGTGCCAATGAAGATGGGACATTGTGTTAAACATAAATAAAAACAGAGTATAATGATTTGCAAATCATGTTCAACTTATATTTAATGGAAAACAAAGACAAGACTATTGTTTTGAGCAAATAATCAGTAACTTAGTATTTTATGGCTGCAACACATTCCAAAAAAAGCAGGGACAGGGACACATGTTTACCGCTGTGTTACATCACCTTTTCTTTTAACAGCATTCAATAAACGTTTGGGAACTGACGAAGGACAAGAATTGGTTGAAGCTTTGAAGGTGGAGTTCTTTCCCATTCTAGCTTGATGTACAGCTTCAGTTGTTTAACAGTCTGAGGTCTCCGTTGCCGTATTTTACAATCGGTAATGCGCCACATATTTTCAATGGGAGACAGGTCTGAACTGAAAGGAAGGCGAGTCTCGTACCCGCTCTCTTTTACTACAAAGCCACGCTGTTGTAACATTTGCAGAATGTGGTTTGGCATTGTCTTGCTGAAATAAGCAGAGACGTCCATGAAAAAGACGTTGCTAGGATGGCAGCATATGTTTTTCCAAAACCTCGGTCTACCTTTCAGCATTAATGGTGCCTTCAGAGTTACCCATGCCACTGGCACTAAAACAGCCCCATATCATCACGGATGCTGCCTTTTGAACTTTATGTCCACAAGAGTCCGCATGGTTCTTTTCCTCTTTGGCCCAGAGGATACAAAGTGCACAATTTCCATTTGAAAAGTGGATGCGTCACTCCACAGAACACTTTTCTACTTTGCATCAGTCCATCTTAGAGAATCCGGCGGCATTTCTGGGTGTTGTTTATAAATGGCTTTCGCTTTGCATAGTAGAGTTTTGAATTTCACTTACACATATAGCGCCAAACTGTTTAGTTACAGTGGTTTTCTCAAGTGTTCCTGAGCCTATGTGGGGATATCCCTTACACATTGATGTCGGTTTTTGATGCCTTGCTGCCTGAGGGATTGAAGGTCACAGGCATTCAATGTTGGTTTTCGGCCTTGCTGCTTACAAGCAGTGATTTCTCCAGATTCGCTGAACCTTTTGATGATATTGGATGGATGGATAAATTAAAATAAAATCAGAGCACTATTAAACAACGTTCGGATACTGTAACATGCTCTCCTGTTCCTTCCGGAGATTTTGCTGCATTATACAGCCTGATGGTTGGAGGGACAAAAGAGACGTTAAGTCTATCTGGAGAGCCCCCGAGTGAGCAGAATCTGGAGCTCACGTAGCTCCTCTGACGAGAGAAGATGGAGTACAATGGGCAGATGATGAAATCCCTAAATTCCTTGCAATTGTAGGTGTTGGGGGAAGAGCGGCCTCCTCTCCCCCGCGTGTTCGTTGAATTTCGGACGAGGAGAATGTTGGTAATCCAAATAAAGGCTGGAATCGATGAACAGTTCCATCGAAACTTTTAATAATGGAATATTCCGGGCACCCGCGGTTACAGACAATGGCTGCGCGTCACGAGTGCGAAGCAGGAAGAGATTCACATAATTTTTATACCATCAGAAGGGCGGTACCGAGACACTAAGTGTGATATCATAACTTTCGTTTCTCCTAAAGTGATTCTCAGCTTGGCGCATTTCAAAGTTTGTGCGTCTTCAGCAGGGAGTATTCCAATTCTAGGTGGTGATTGTTACAAGGACGCAAAGCTACACTGCGGGCATGGGAAAGTTAGACAGCATGACGAACTATGAGCAGAATACAGACTTCATAGGTCATAGGAACATTGTCCTGAAACTGTCCGACTATTTTCTCACACAGTTGTTCGCAAAGAGGTGAACCTTACCCGATCTTTGCTTGTGAATGATTGAGCAATTCAGGGAACCCCCTTTTATATCCAGTCATGGGCACCCACCTGTTCCCAGTTAGTCTGGTCACCTGTGGGATGTTCCAAACAGGTGTTTGATGAGCATTCCCCCACTTTCTGAGTCTTTTTTGCCACCCTTCCCAGCTTTTTTGGAACATGTTGCAGCCATTAAATACTAAATTAATGATTGTTTGCTAAAAAGAATTAAGCTTATCAGGTTTGACATTGTCTATCTTGTCTTTGTAGTCATATTTAATTCAGTATAGGGTGAACCAACATGTCACCAGAGCCCAGCCTTAAGGGGCTGTGGGGGAGGGGGAGCACATGAAATTTATGGGGAAGGAGGTGTTATACCCTGCAGACAGCACTTACTTTACTCCGTATATTTGTGTAGCACTGCCAATCCCATTTTGAATGAACGTATTATCAAAGAGAACATTTACATTACATACACAAAAATAACTTCTTCAGTGCCGCGACACCGCAGCCGTGTTGGATGTGGCAAAGTGAAGCAAATTGTGAATGTGCTTCCTTCACTTGTATCATCAAGCAGTAACTCTGCATTAACACCGAATCATTGCTTTTGGTTGCATGATGTCATTCTAGCTCAATTTTACAATTTTAATGGCGAATTTATGGTTAATATTAAAGCCACGTACAATATGGCGGATGGGTTGACATCGCTTCGACCCGGCCATTAGAATCAACAATTGTCTGCTACAGAATCTACAGCAAAAAGGAAATAAATATGTATTTTCATTTTAGATTTCCAAAGAGGTTGTGGCTCAAATGGAATCTTGTATGAAATGGTACAAATTGTTTTGGAGTTGCAGATGCATAAGTTGTCCCTCTGTACGGCAAGGGAGGAAGAAACTCAACCTCCCCTCATGTGCAAAAACTGCGATCAATGGTCACCAAGTTTTATGTTTACATCTTTACTTCTGCTCATATCGACTTATGAAAATATCAGAATTATCGCCCAAGTACTAGGGATTTTAGCGTCTTTCACTCTTCACAGAGGCGCTCACTACAAAGCTTATGTCACTTCCTAAGGGAAACGCGTCGTTCACAAAATACAAAATACATGACATGCCTCGCCACATTACACAATGCCACACTTGGAAAAATCACCAGGATGCTCATACGCAAACTTTGGCGTATTATGCTTACCTAACCTTATTTTCAGTAACGACGTGATTGGCTGTTGCAGATAAAACTGGCCATCAATCAATCAAACAAAAATGACATCACTGTTTCTTCAATATTGTGAACGTCTTCGTGAAAAGCAACTCAACATTAGTATTTCACAATCCATAAAGAGTTATGATGAAATAAAATA